CACCTCACATCCCTTGGATTACTCTAAGGGGTTTGATAAACTCCCCAACGTGGTTTAATAAAGGTTTGCATTATTGGGTACTGACGAGACAACATCTTGATACCGATAAACCCGAAATACACGTGCTTCGACCCTCATGAAGTCTAGAGGGACGCACGAAGAAAAACTTGTTAAGGAATATATAGAATGTTTTTGACGCTTATGTTCATACATTAACCAATGGACTAAGAGAAGAGGAAATATCCCAGGATTATTGGGAAACAGTAGTGTAGAATTGTGGTTTACTTAGTTATTAGTACTACTATAATGATAGACATAATTCTAATTTTATGGATTTGTCGTGTTGAAACAGCCTAATCCATTGGATCTTACGTGGGAGTCACATCATTGTCTACACTGATTCATCGTATCGTGAAAACGAGCAACATATGAGAGAGAACACACTCAGGCTGGAAATAGAACAATATATTTAATATGAGTAAATACATGTCATACAGAATGACCATGTCTGCAAGGCTGAGACATGCCACCCGATTGGATTCAATTGAATTCACTCTTCCCTCCTTCTAAGTCGTTGGGATTTACTCCGTGTTAAGTGTTGAATATCTATTTTCCCAGTTGTCTTGTGTCCAGCTTTGAGGGTTGTGTGGTTAGGGCCCGATGCTACTACAGTAGTACTGCATCATTAGTGAGGGACGACTATGGTAACGTCCAGGTATTCTCGAATTATCCTAGCAATGTATATACCATATAGCTGTCCTTCTCTCCAGTTGATCCAGTTTCCACACACAAACTGGCCAATGTGACCATTATAGAAATCGATTTTTTTGGTATGCTAAATGTGCTTGATATGGGCAAATTCACGGGATCCAATAATATGAATCCAGGTTGCTAAAAGAGCAAGCAAGTTTTGTCGCGAATCCCTCAAGTATATGCTTTGATCTATTCGTAATTCGTCTTTGATTACCAAATGACTGAAGGAATGCTTTGGTCCTTTTTTCAAAACAGGTAGTAGACATAAGCCTGATAACTATTGACCTGTAAACCTAACCAGCGTGGTTGTTAGTATTTCAGAAAAGTTTGTCATGAAGGAGCTGTTTACGTATCTTGATGAAAACTGGATTCTTTCTGAAAAGCAGAATGGCCTCGGAATAGGTTGTTAATGTCTCGCTAACTTATTAGTAGCTCGTGAATGTTGGTGACCGCTTAAAGATCAAACGTCACCTGTAGACATAGTCTACACTGACTTTAGAAAAGCTCTTGGCAGAGTTTCTCGCGATGAACTTATATCAATTTAGTAATACAGGGGTTGGAGACAGTTTGTTACTGTGAATAAAAGAATTGTTAGTTGGGTGTCAACAAAGAGAACGGGTGAACTCCGAGTTGTTTAACCGGTAAATTGGGCTTGGTGATGGGCCTTAGGGTACAGTTTTGAGCCAGTGTTGTTCCTTCTGTATATAAATGACATTCCTAGCCTCCTATGCTCATCGGTTTTTTTGCACGCTGATCACGTCAATATATGGGTATCGATCAAAACCAAAGGTGATAGTTAAGAACTTCAAAATGACAGAGAAATTATTTCAACTGTTGGAGAAACAGTCAGACGCCGTCGCGCCTATACTGAATATTTACTAACGAAGAATTCCTAATTGACAACCTTTCAATCCTGGCTCCCTTGGGAAAAAACAACCATGCCGTCATAGCTTTTAGTTTTATCAGTAAGACTGAAATAAGATATCCAATCAACAACAGGAGCTCAAATTTCAAACAATCGAATGAATGAGCTTTACAGGACAATCAACAACGGGTGGATTGAGAATTTCACACTCAACCTGATATGGATGCTCTTTAGGATTTCTTACTGCACACGATCTCATGTGCTACAAAGCAGTCTGTACTTCAAACAGTCCCCCAAATCTACAGGCAACCCGCAGTCATCGAGAACCGCACGGTCCGTTCTCTGGGCCGCAAAAGGCATTGTTGGACAGAATACGAACGATCTGATAACAATGGCGCGTACAGGCAGGGCAAAAGTATAAGGAACATATACACAAAGTGGTGAGACTATAATTTATGGACGACATTCGAACGAATATTAAGTGACCTTGAAAAATATTAGTCAATCAGCAAACAGTAAGTATACAGTAAAAATATACTATACAAAACCAAAGAAAGAAAGTAGATACACTTCATATACGCAGCAGAGGAGATCATCCATATGGCTACAGAATAGTCGGCCTCTAGAGCCATGATAGAGTCTCAAAAACTCTTTCAGCCGCGACCACATAGCTTCAATATTGTTTGCGTGCATTCCGATTGTTGAGTACACAAAATGCCACTTGTGGATAACAATACGATGCACATAACCAAGACTATGTAGGGGTCTGTACGCTCTCCAATCATCTGTATATATTGTAGTACCTGGCTGCAGCCAGTGTAACTGGTGCTTTTATTATCCAGTTCGCAATAATTGTCATAATCTGCCTTAGTTAATAATTATATTCAGGGTTTTCACCAGCTATAATGCCAGGAATCTATTTAACCAAATGGATAGAAGGCTTTCGCGCCAAAATCCAAGATTTGTTATCTTATACCTGAGTGATTCATTCACAAATTTTAGTCTCGTCGTTTTATTTGTCACAGTCACCCGATCACCACGTTTTGTACGAAATTCCCTGTGAACCGATCGTACGTTAGCATTAAGCACTGAAGTTGGCGCAGTGACCTTGAGACCTCTCGAGTGCTTCTGATTTGCTCATCCATAAATTAGAGTCTCGCCCTTATTCCGTCATGCAGACACTCCTCAACAAGCCAAAACTGGAGTTTCCCAACTGCTAGGCCCTAGTGGTCCGACCGATGACGACGGTGACGCCGCTAACCTTCTGGCTAAACAGTACTCTCGGACATTTCAACCGCCCCACATTAACTATGTTGATGAAGGCTTCGTCTGCAACTACACAGGGCTTTCCGAAGTGAACCTGAGCGCTGACTAGGGGTACCGCAAACTGTAGCACCTAAGAAAAGACACTTCTCCTGATCGGGATATGGTTCATTCTGTCATACTGAGGGAAGTAGTTTCAATCCTGGCAACACCGCTTGGCGTGATGTTGTCACATTACCAGAAAATTGGAAGGTGGCTCACATCACACCAATTTTCAAAGGATTTCGACGCAAAGAACCCACAAGCTACTGACTGGTGACTCTCCTCTCTATATCTTTAAAAATTATGGAGTTCCTGATATGCGACGGTATACACAACCATTTATTATCGTTAAACTTCTTTTCACTTCAACTGCATGGTTTCAGGAAGTATTGTACAACCAACCTGCTGACGCAATAGAGAGATGGACAACCGTCCTTGACGTCATTCATCTTGACTTTTCAAAAGCTTTATATAGAGGCAACAATATATGTCTTATTAATAAGCGTAAACGATTGAGTACAAGGTCATCTTTAATTGATTGGCTCAATTCACATCTGAAAAATAGACACCTACTTGATTTTAACTCCAACACTACACTTAGGGGTAACATCCAGAAACTGGAGACACAACACTGCAGAACGGACTTTAGACACAACTTCTACTCCTTAAGAGTTGTCAAATGCTGAAATTCTCTGCTGGCCGAGCTAGTCCAAGCGACCTCCCGGGAGTTCTTTAAGAGGAAACTTGACATATTTTTAAGGACTAAGGATAGCATGTTACTATGATTTACCAATTTCTTTTTCCTCTTTTATCGTTAATATACCTATGTTCCTTCTTGGAGGTATTGGTGATACGTTGCTACTAGATACGGAAGCCCGTTAAGTGAAAGCTTTCTCTTATTTATTTATTTTAACACATAAATATTGGTACAAGGAGGCACCAGATACATATGCGCCACACGAATCTCAATTGATTTGTGTGAGGGCTGTGATACTGCCCGGGTGCCCAAACCGAAGCAGGTGGTTTTCTTAGGGGGCCACACCCTGAGCCTTCGACCTGAACAACTGACCCACAAGGCAGTGGAGCATCGTAAGGAGATGCAGTCCCATGGTAGCCGGTGACCAACGATTGGTTCATACGCCATTTGTTCCTTCAGGATACTGGAGCTCATGTGCACCATTGGTTTGGGGTCCGGTTAAAGCGCCAGACATTCGCTTTTCGTCCTCTCATTTTTGTAAACAACACCCCCGCCACGAGAAGGCAGTGAGTAGGACTTCCCTGGCAGGGGCTATATACGCATGGCCATATGAGAGCATTTCGAGAGGGAGAGCGGACTCTCCCCACTCTCAGCCGTACCAGGGCATTTGGGGGCGAAAGCTTCCTCTATTCCGTTCACAATTATTTGAACTATTTTAATGATCTCAAATTTGACAATTTCCATTGAATTCTTTCAAGTGCATATTGATAGAATTATGGTCTACTATAATATTAGTACGGCTCTACTGATAAGCCTAATCCTAAAATTGTAAATTTGTCATGATATGACTGCCTAATCTATAAGATATCACGTGGAAGTCACATCATCCTCTACACCAACTCACTGCATCGTAACAATTACCAACACTTGATGGAAAACAAGTGTTACGTCCAAGTTTTTGCTCCTTCCCGTTATTGAAGTACGGTATGTCGATCTATTTGTAATTTACGAACCCAAATTAACAACAGAACCAAAAACCAAATCAGGTACCAAGTTTATTCGCAATTCACAAATAGTCGACCAAATGTCGTTCTAACAACAATAATTATAATAATTACAAAACAAACCTTCAATTTTATAGGTTCCCGGAGCAAAAAACTTCCAATTACCAAGCCAAGACAAACAGAAACCAAAATGTTCGAAATAATGATATAAACAAACAAGTTCAGAAGTTAAGTAAAACAAATACATCCAAAAACCAGTGAAATTAATGATATTTAATATAAAGTTTTTAATCAGCCAAATGTCTTCAGTTCTCCCGTAACACTCCCGACCAAAAGAACCTTGGTTCTTTTCACAGACAAAATAGGTAACAGCAATCCAAGTATGTGCATCGCAAGCAATCAACAACAAACATTCAATATACCGACAACCTCGTGATCCCTAGGACTTACACCAGTACGCCTAGGGATCCGATTAACTACCTACCATCTACCGCTTCAAGAAGACACAGTTTACGTATATCTCTCACTAGAATACCCTTTCTCGTCCTCAGCTCTACCTGTCTTACTAGTCTATCCTTACTTGGTATCACTCTTTGTACTAGACCTAAGGGCCACTTGTTTTTCTCGGAAAAGTCAGAACATATCATTACTAAGTCACCCTCACGTATATTCCTCTCTAGTTGTGTCCACTTGTAACGACGCTGCAATAGTGATACATATTCCTTAGACCAACGTCTCCAAAATACTTGTGCCAAATAGTTCGCTTGCTTCCATCTCTTAGAATACCTGTCATTAGATAGAGTGTTAGCGAATTCTGCAACATTCTCTCGCAATAGTAATAGTTTCGCTGGTGTTATTGCATCAAGATCCTTCGGGTCGTCTGTAACGGGAACCAAAGGTCGATTGTTAATTATACGTTCAGCCTCTGTCATGAAAGTTTCGAGACATTCATCTGTTAAAGGTTGTTCCTTTACAAGAGTACTCAATACCCTACGTACAGAGCGAATCATGCGCTCCCACACTCCTCCCCAATGACTAGCAGCCGGAGGATTGAAATGCCAGTCAATCCCCTTTCTTAGCAAATCAGAGTGTATACGTTCCTGTACCCAACCCTGAAGACATTTTCTTAGTTCATGTTCAGCCCCCACTAGATTTGATCCATTATCACTGTAGATCTCCTTTGGATAACCTCTCCTGCTGACAAATCTCATTAGTGCCATGATAAATGAGTCGGTCGTAAAACTATATGCCACCTCCAGATGCACGGCTCTCAATTTTAAACAAGTGAATACACAACCATACCGCTTCTCAGTATTTCTACCATGTTTGACCATAAGGGGTCCAAAATAATCTACCCCAACTGATAAGAACGGATAGTCACCTCCTTCTATCCTGATCGAAGGTAATGGCGCCATTAGTTGCTGAATGGGACGAGCGTTCCTTCTTTTACAATAAACACAATCCTTTATCACTCTCCTCATGGCCACACCTCCCCTCAGCACCCAAAATCTTTCTCGGACCGTCGCCATTACCTGTGTAGCTCCGACATGTCCCTCCAAAATATGATAATACCGTAGAATCAAATTTGTAATTGTGTGCTTCGATGGTAATATTATGGGATGCTTCCTCGACTCGGACCATGAACTAATTTGAATTCGACCACCGACACACAATAATCCGTCTATGATCATTGGATTTAAGATTCGTAAGGGTGAATTCGTTATTTTCACCTTGCTAATGTTATCAGACGACAACATTTCAATCTCTTTCCGAAATACTATGCTTTGGACATATCGAATTAAATCTAAACAAGCTAAATTTAGTTCATCAACTCTGAGCATACCCACCTGTAGGGATAGATCACCTCTGCCAGAATACATTATTAACAAATATTGCTTAAATCGGATCAACCATGCAACAGCCTTGAGTAATCTAGTCCAATCTGAATAATAATTAATAAGTAGATCAACAGTGGATTCTCCAACCATTACATGCGTGGACATTGCCTTCTTTAATTCCAAGAGATGGGGTTCAGGATCTTGTACATTTGCATCAGGCCAACACTCCTTCGGTTTCTTCAAAAAATGAGGTCCTTCCTCCCATACCTTGACATGATCGATGTTGAACCTTACCCCTCTGGATGCAAAGTCTGCTACGTTCTCCTTAGAAGGTACGAATCTCCATTGGTCCACCTTAGTAAGACTGTGAATAGTCGAAATCCGGTTTGCTATGAATGTTTTAAACTGGCTTTTCTCATTTCTAATATAGTGTAAGACAATCATGGAATCCGTCCAAAAATTAACTTCTGCAAACTTAATATCTAACTCGGACTGCAGCTGGGACCCCATACGCGCTGCTAACACTGCTGCCGTAAGTTCCAAGCGCGGTATAGTTTGAACCTTCAAGGGGGTTACTCTTGCCTTAGCCGTAATAAGACGAGAATATATTCCAGTGTCAAGGATGCAAGATCGGATGTATGCCACTGCACCATATCCAATTTCCGAGGCGTCACAGAAAATATGAAGTTCCAGAAGCGAGCGATCTGATTGTGGAAACAATACACAACGTGGAAAACTAACGTTCTCAACCCTCTGAAGTTCACTTAGAATCTCTAACCAGCGTTTGCATTCCTCACTTGGAATCTCTTCGTCCCATCCTAGTCCCAACTTACTTAAGCGCTGAAGTAACTGCTTCATAGGAATTATAAATGGTGCTAACAATCCCAAGGGATCGTAAAGTGAGGCTACACTCGACAATATACCTCGCCTAGTGAGGGGGCGTTTCGGTACGCGAACTTTAAATTCAAACGCATCAACCATAGTATTCCAAAATAATCCCAATGTGCGTTCCGTAGGAAGTCTCTCAAAGTCAATTTCTCTTACGGCCTCTGATCTCTCATCTGGATCAATTGATTCGAGAACCTGTAAACAGTTACTTATCCACTTGGTAAGTCTGAATCCACCTTTTCTGAGGAGTAAACCTAGGGCTTTTGCAAGCTCGATTGCATCCTGCACATTATCAATTGAGGCTAAATAGTCGTCGACATAGAAACTCTTATCTACGACTTCTCGAACATTTTTATTCAATTCTTTACCGAATATATCTACCGTTTTCCTAAGAGCGAAATTAGCGCAAAAAGGAGAGGACACGGCTCCAAACGGATGGACTGTTAAACAGTATTCCTTAGCCCTTTGTCTTATATCACCGTCTTCCCACCACAATAGTCGAAACGCTCCTCTATCTTGTCTCGGGATCTTTACTTGAAGAAACATCTCCTCGATGTCAGCGGCTAATGCTACGTTACCTAATCTGAATCGTAGAAGTATACCAATTAAACTATTTACAGTATTTGGTCCTCTCAAAAGCTGATCATTAAGAGAGCAACCTTGATAGACAGCTGCACAATCAAAAACAATTCTCAATTTTCCAGGCTTTTTAGGGTTGATAACAGGATGATGAGGAATATACCAACAAACAGCATCACGGTCAAATCCCTCCTTACTAGCTTCAGTGATGTAGCCCTTACTTAAATGCTTATTCATTACAGCTTGATATTTCTCCAGAAGACTATTATCCTTCATAAACCTCTTCCTTAAACACTCTAGTCTGCGTTCCGCTAGTTCCAAATTATTCGGTAGTCTTGGCTTATCATACTTCCACGGTAGACCAACTTGGAAATGGCCACCCTCCAGTCTAAAGGAATTATTAACTATTTCCAGAGCTCTTTTATCTTCGACAGAATATTCATTACGAAACACATCTGCATCCTCAAACTCATGATTATATAATCTTTCTATATCTCGCAAAATATCATTAGTAGAACAATGACACCACTGAACTTGATGTAGAGACCTCGATACTCCTTTAGGACCTAAAATCATCCAACCGAGATGAGTACGCACACCAAACGGATGCTTCCTATCACCCAGGCGTTGTTCAAGTACCCAATGTGCATCAGGAGCATCACACCCAATCAATATTCCTACCAGATTACTTTGCAACCTCGGAAGGGTTATGTCCCTTAAATGTTTCCACCTTCTCAGCTGGAGTTCGGTTAAAGGTTCTGCATAATCGATCGGAAGTTTCTTGGTCGTATAAGCTTTGTTGATCTTTATAGAACCCCGTTCATCTAACGAAAATACCTCTAAATTTACTTCCAAACACTCACAAGTAGAAGTTCCATTCACAGTCGTCACCCTTAACGAAGTCTCCTTACCTTCGATACCCAACCGATTAATTAACTCTTCACATACAACAGAGGTATCTGAACCACTGTCTAGAAGGGCGTATGTTTCCAAACATCCTTTGGGGCCGTATAGTCTAACCGGAATAATACCCAAACAATCCTTTGAGGAGTTCAAATCCTTAGCAAAGTTCACCATATGTTTATTATTAGCATCAATATGTAATAATGGATTATGCCGAATCTTACAATTATCAACGCCACACTTTATGTCCGAGTTACACGACTTGGCTATGTGACCCTTCCTTAAACACAGGTAACATAGACCCCGTCTTCTAACTTCCAGTCTTCTTTCTGTAACATTCATTTTCGATAACTTCATACAATCTTTCTCTTTGTGATCACCAAAGCAAATTTCGCAACTTAAAGTCTTGAGTGAAGTGCTTGGTTCCCGCTTAGCTACATTGAGGCGTGATCTTCTATCAACGTGGCCTTCATAATTACCTTTACGGAACTTTGAGTTACAATGTACCAATCTACCAAAACGTGATCGAGCAATCCTGGCTCTTTCTTCTACAAACATTACTAATTCTTCAAAGATCGGCTCTCTACCAGCCATCATGATTCTATCGGCAGCTTCCACCCATTTATTCTGCAATTCTAAAGGTAAACGTGACACAATTATTTCCAGATTAGCTGTATAATTCACATCAGACATATACCCCATTTCCTTCAAAGTTATGCATACATTACGTAGCTTAATTGCGAAGTCAGTTAAACCATCGGCGGATCCTTCAACAGATTTGTGGTTGAGTAATTCAGTAATAAGATTACGAGCGACAAGGTGTTCTTTACCAAATAGATCATATAAAATTTGTTTGGCTCTATCGTAACCCAAATGACTGGGCAAAGAAATACAAGCTTCAATAGCCGTTCTGGCCTTTCCTTTACAGTAGTATGACAAATATGACAACAACTGGCATTTGTCAGACAGTTTACTCTCGATAATGCTTGTAAACTGACTAATAAATCGGTGGTACTGGCTCGGTTGTCCATCAAAAAACATCATATCAATCTTAGGCAAGACCGTACTATTAACCGTAGTACGTAACGTATCCTTTAATTCATTAATCCAATCGCATTTTGTGTTGTTAAATACCTCCCCGGAATGCTTATTACACGCAGTGTCACAATCCAAGTACCTTTCCACCTTAGCATTTATCTCAGACCTGTCTACTAGCAGTCTGTTATCGTTTTCTATGACCTTACATTCCAATTCGGCCATATCAACCTCCTCTTGAAGCTCTAACATCTTAAGCTGCCTTTCTAACTCAAGCCTCTTTTCCAAAATTTTCTTCTTTAGTAATGCCTTATCTAACCTCAATCTAGAAGTACTAAACTGAGCTGAGGACATACTATTAACACTAATATCATCACGTTTATCATCATTAAATTCAGACATACCACAGACAGCTTTAGAAATTTTATCATCCATTTCGTCATTTTCCTTCGGTTTTTTGCTTCTCGTTTCCATCGTATGCCTTTGTTCGAAAGAATCGGTTACCAAAACTAATAAGAATTAATCCAAGTGAATTCGACCAATATGACCAAAAATTGGACCCAAAATGTCCAGACGAATCCAATGTATTACAACAGAACCAAAACTGAAGAACTTTATGTTACGTCCAAGTTTTTGCTCCTTCCCGTTATTGAAGTACGGTATGTCGATCTATTTGTAATTTACGAACCCAAATTAACAACAGAACCAAAAACCAAATCAGGTACCAAGTTTATTCGCAATTCACAAATAGTCGACCAAATGTCGTTCTAACAACAATAATTATAATAATTACAAAACAAACCTTCAATTTTATAGGTTCCCGGAGCAAAAAACTTCCAATTACCAAGCCAAGACAAACAGAAACCAAAATGTTCGAAATAATGATATAAACAAACAAGTTCAGAAGTTAAGTAAAACAAATACATCCAAAAACCAGTGAAATTAATGATATTTAATATAAAGTTTTTAATCAGCCAAATGTCTTCAGTTCTCCCGTAACAACAAGCTTAGGCTAGAGCTAGAACAATATATTTAATATGAATAAAATATATAAGGTAACATTCAGCAGGGACCACACCTGCGTGGCCAAGGTATGCCATCCAACCAACTCTAATTAATTCGATTCGTTGTTCCCGCCTTCTTTATCATTAGGTATTTCTCCGCGTTCAATATTGAATATCTATTTCCCCAGTAGTCTTATGTTCAGCTTTGAGGATTGTGTGGTTATGGTCTAATGCCACTACATATTAGTCATTAAGGTACAGATACATATACGGGGAATAACCGTGAACCACCTGTTGGCCAGACAAACAATAACTTGAGAGTCATTGTTAGCCAAGACTTGAAAACTATTGCACACTGCCGTGAAACAGTCATTAAACGTTCTAGAGTCATATTGTCAATATGTAGGGCATTTAGCCATGTTGATGCCGAACACTTTTTGACTTTTTCAACAGTATTCACTCGTTCTAAACATGAGTACTGCATACAAATTTCTAGCCCTCGTCTAAAAAGAGACAGTGAGTTGTTAAAACAGTTCATAGAACCTCAACCAAGACGATTGTCGGAATAGCAAAGCTCCCGTATGATGCTCGACTTGCCAAACTAAAACACTTTCCATTGTCATATCGAAGAACCGCAGGCTACTTGATCACAGTTTTCAAATTACGTAGTGATAAGTTTTCATCCGGTATACCTTTGTCTTTCAAAACAGGGAATCTACAAGTGCACTCTAAAAAAGTTCACAAGCCCAGAACAAATTACGTGTTAGCTGACCATTGATATTCACACCAAATCATCAAGGAATGGAACTCATTACATCAACACGTGATTGAAGATCCATCCGTCAACACTGAAAAGAAAGTTGGATCAACTGAGAGACCACCATCAGTAGAACTAATACAGGCCACCTAGCCTCTTGTCCTTCCCAAACTGAAACTGAAATAGTTCTAGGTCATTTAAATACCGCAAGATTCGAGCACAACGCACGCTTGGCAATGGATTGTACTAACGTGGGTCAAATAGCTGGTCTTCGATATGGATTCTACAGTCCTGATGAAATCAGAAGGTTGTCAGTTCGCAAGGTAACAAATGACATGGCTTTCGACAAATTTACTGGTCGTGGGGTAGATGGAGGGCTTCATGACGTAAATTTCGGTAAAATATCAACATACTACTTATTGATATTTCATAGGAGTCATTGGCTACAGCGAGACCTGTGCACACTGCAGCATGGATTTTGCAGATTGTCCGGGTCATTGTGGTCATATCGAGTTTTCGAAACCAGTATTCAACCCTTTCATGTTTGATGTGTTGTACAAAGTAAGTGCACGTTGTTTATGTTTACTTCTTCAAGATTGTGAAGTCTTTCTGCTTTGGGTGCTTTCGCTTATACAGTGCAGAGTATCTTGCTTCAGCCTTATATCTACTTGGAGCACCAGGTAGGTGTATCTCGTATAATGACATTAATGCTCCTAGTCAGTAAGCTTCCCGGCAAACTGAAAGCTCTTGAAATTAAAGAGTTGGAAGGATTATCAGGCGATGATTTGCGCCAAGTGGCGATTAGAAACTTAGCTACAAGACCTCGTGCCCCTTGCAAGTTGTGCGGTAGCGGGTCTTGGGGTCTAAGGCACATTAGTAAACAACAGTTAGTTCTCCACCCAATCTCTATTGCTGGCGGTAACCGTTCAAAGGCAAAAATGAAAGAGTAAGTTATAGATTGCATTTATTGCCAATATCTAGTAATCTTTAAGGTTACTAAAAATGATGATTAGACCCAAAGTGAACGCATCGATGTTGAACACTAAAAAGCTATGGGTTTAAGCAAACACACTTCGCATCATAAACAGTAAGTATTTGAGTCAAAAGACGAGGGTGTATGTTAAATATCAGAATGTTCGAGCTCATAAAGACTACATGTGATCCTTTCACAATCGATTCAGAGCCGTTCCATATAGTCTTTTATATCTAACTCTTATCATTCCGACGACTCTGTCTGATAAAAATTTCATCCAGATGATTTACACCAAATATTGTTGAGCTTAAACCCAACCCCACCTTAAAAGGCATCCCATCGAGTTAGGTAGTGATTAGGAATACTCAAGGCAAAATATTCATCGATCGGTATAGATTCACGACCTCGTTGACCCAAAATTACCGCAGCTTAAAACTCAAAACACTACCAGTCCTTCACCTTGTGGTGGTGGACACGGAGAGTCCACCGAGGGGAGTTCGAAAACCCTGATTCCAAACCAGTGGTGCACATGGGCTTCAGTACCCTGAGGGAACAAATAGCGTATGAACCACTCGTTGGTCACCGGCTACCATGGGACTGCATCTCCTTACGATGCTCCACTGCCTTGTGGGTCAGTTGTTCAGGTCGAAGGCTCAGGGTGTGGCCCCCTAAGAAAACCACGTGGTTCGGTTTGGGCACCCGGGCAGTATCACAGCCCTCACACAAATCAATTGAGATTCGTGTGGCGCATATGTATCTGGTGCCTCCTTGTACCAATATTTATGTGTTCAAATAAATAAATAATATAGATCACCTTGTGATCCCACACTACAGTAGTAATACTGCGATTATTCCCACTACTAAATACTTATTATTTATACATCTTGTATAGAAATTGTCAGATGTGGATTTACTGAAAGCGAAATGTGGCGCAGTATGTTCTCCTTTTAAGTCTCTTATGTGTGTTGTGGGTACCAGAAAAGTTAGGCATTGGCAGACAACGAACCAGCAGTACTCATTCTTAGGCAGATTTCAAGGATAATTACATCTAGGCTAATTGGTTTTTCAAATATGTAAATTGATTCGTATGATAAGTGACATCTGGGTTTGGCTCTGTTATATGCTCTAATTATAGTCATCTAAAAGAAAACTAGAGTAGTATGGCTCAAAATCAGCTAAATTAGTGCATTTTTTAAAATTCGTACTAATCAGTTCCATCCGTTTCTGAATCATATTCTCTACATCTGGCTCACTACTAGCGTGGATATTGTTACCTTGAGTCCCCTGATTTTCACTTATGCTAACTTCTTTCTATTGCGCTAAAGTCAGTTGGAGCAACTCAAACTGATATATTTTGTGTCAGGCCATAAGTCTGTGTCTCTCCCCGTTTTGTTACTCTAATCAAAACTTAACTGATCAGTCGCTCTAAAATATTAACCAACTGAATCTAGTTGCTAGTTTTTTTATAATAAATTTGTCGAATTCGCCAAAATGTAAGAAATAAAATAGTGAGGGTTTAATATGGTGCATATAAGAATAGAGGAAACAAGATGTTTTTCTCTCATTTTCACCTCAAAATACACTGTAGCACTAAAGAAATTGTGTTTTCTAAAAACCCACTTCGTCAGGATAATTAGTATCCAGTCATAGGCTAGTTTGTTTGAAATACCTGAAGCAATATGTTAGCTTAGTTTACGTCTGCCATTTTCAGGAAAGTTGTCTTACTGTCACCAAATTCCCTGCTGTTGGCTGGTGTTATATTTTCGCTCTTACGGTTATAACCCAGCTATTCACATTGCTTAGTATTCACGGACACAGATTCACTGCAGATAGTTCATCATAGTTTTAGTGTGTGGGCTGAGATACTGCCCGGGCGCCCAGACCGAACCACGTGGTTTTCTTAGGGGGCCACACCCCGAGCCTTTGACCTAAAGGTCTAGTCCACAAGGCAGTGGAGCATCGTGAGGAGATGCGGTCCCATGGAAGCCGGTGACCAACGATTGGTTCATACGCCATTTGTTCTTGCAGGATACTGGAGCCCATGTGCACCATTGATTTAGGATCCAGTTATAGCGCCGGACATTCGCTTTTCGTCCTCTCATTTTCGTAAACAACAGTAATGCACGAGAAGGCAGTGAGTAGGACTTCCCTGGCAGAGGCTGTATACGCGTGGCCGTGTGAGAGTATTTCGAGAGGGAGGGCGAACCCTCCCCGCTCTCGGCCATACCAGGGCATTTGGGGGCCAATCACTAACATCCATCGATGTCTTGGACGATGGGCAGAATTCTTTGAAGGGCAGTTCAACTGGCCTGCTGCTCCGGCAACATCGATCAGACTGTCCTGCCCTCCATGGCCGGTGACGACTGATCCACCAAATGAGGCGGAAGTCCGCAAGGGACTCCAACTCTTGAAACGTTACAAATCACCGGGCCCAGACGACTTACCTCCGGCTCTTTTTAAAGATGGTGGTGACTTTTTGACTAAGGGACTGACGAAGTTGTTTACAAAGATCTGGGAACTAGAGAGTGCACCAACGTCATGGAATGAGTCGATAGTTGTCCCTATCTTTAAAAAGGGTTCACGTTGTTCCTGTAACAACTATCGGGGGATAAGTCTACTCCCGATTGCGTCCAAGCTATTGGCTTCCGTTATATTTCGTAGGTTGTTCAAAACCCGAGAAAGATTGACTCGCGAGGAGTAGGCTGGGTTTCGTTTTGGTCGAGGATGTATTGATCATATCTTCACCCTCCGCCAAATGTTAGAACACCGCCATACTTATCAAAGACCAACAATCGTAGTGTTTCTTGACATCAAGGCTGCTTTCGATTCGTTGGACAGAACTGTTCTCTGGGATTGTCTATTGAAGAGGGGTGTGCCTGAGAAGTTTATTAACATCCTAAAAGCCTTATATACAAACACCTCAGGTAGAGTGAGGGCATACAACCACCTTTCTCCACTATTCCATTCGAGCAGTGGAGTTAGGCAGGGTTGCCCAATCCATAGGTATGGTGTGTGCTTTGCACCTTCGAAGTGCAAAGTACTTCTACAAGACTGGCAGGATTCTAATCCTGTACTCACTCTGGATGGTGAGCAGATTGAAGTAGTCGAGAAGTTCGTGTATCTAGGTAGCTGCATAAGTGCTGGTGGTGGCGTGAGTGATGAGATCAATACACGTATAGTGAAAGCCAGAGCGGCTTATGCCAATCTGGGCCATCTTTGGCGCCTTCGTGATGTTAGTCTGGCTGTAAAAGGTCGGATCTACAACGCGACGGTGAGAGCAGTTTTGCTCCATGCTTGTGAAACCTGGCCTCTCCGAGTTGAGGATGTTAGACGACTCTCTGTGTTCGATCATCGTTGTCTCCGAAGGATTGCTGGCATCCAGTGGCAACACCATGTCAGTAATGCAGAGGTTCGGCATCGAGTGTTCGGTCACAGAGACGATAATGAAATTGGTGTCACCATCTTGAAACACCGACTTCGGTGGCTTGGACATGTTTTACGAATGTCGTCCAAGAGAATTCCACGTCGTGCATTATTTGCCGACTCTGGGACTGGTTGGAAACAGGGGATAGGTGGTCAGTATATGACATGGTGTCGTGGTATGAAAGAAAGCTGCAAAGGGCTAGCTTCTGTTGGTCCTTCACGACTCCCTGGCTGGGGTCCGAGAGACGGTGTAACACAGTGGCTAGAGACGTTATCAGATATGGCTCAGAATAGAAGCCAGTGGCGATCCTGCTGTAACCTTCTTTTACTTTCTTCATAAAAAGTGGTTGTATCTTCCTTAACTGAAAGATCTCTTCTGACTGTACCTTTCCGTTTCCCCCACCATTGTTCTGTCTCTCTCCTTTTTTTTTATAATTCCCCACGTTCATTACTTCTTTTTTTTCTCTTTTCTCCTTCTCTTCAAATTATCATTGTTTTGTGTGGCGCATATATATTTGGTGCCCCCCTTGTACCAATATTTATGTGTTCAAATAAATAAATAATAAATAAATATATACAGATTCACTCGACAAGGCCCCAAATCAGAACACGATTGAGCAGGAAGGAGATTATATTCCAAATAACAAGGTTAGGTGGAAGCAAGAAGCAAAATAGGAAAACCGTTAGTATATTTATAGCTTTTTACATAAGAAGAATCTAGAATCTTCTCCTTGTATCGACTAGCACTGATTGGATAAGAATCAGCCAATCAGCGTGCACCAAAGCAATCGTGCATTGAGTATGCTTAAATCCAACCTATGTCCCACTAACACCTCCCCTTTGAGCAGATTCGTAGGATCTGGTGCTAGGGTCCAACTGCAACCGAGTGACTGGCCTGTGCTTTCGATTTGTCCATCGTCTAGGCAATAAAGAAGTATCACTCTTTGCTTGCACAGAAACTGACCTGTCTGTTCCAGGCGTTTTGATTTCAAAGGTGTCTAGCAGAACATCAAGAGGTAATCGATATTGAATCTCGTTGCTGGCTATCGAAGTTGCTTTCAATTGGTTAACATGACGTACCCAAACTTCTGAGCCAACTGACACCTCATAAACCACACTCCCCTTCTTTTTCAAGATCCGACCAGCTGTCCATGTAGGATGTTTCTCACGATAGTCCATAGCAAGTACTTTTTGTCCCACCGTGAACAATCGTTTTTGTGCCCCATGATGTCGATTGAACTGATTCTCCATAGATAGGTTTCGTTGAGGCTCAAGAGCTGGCGTAGGACGGATGACATCGAAATGTGTTCGTATTTTTCTGCCAAGTAGAGCTTCTGCTGGAGAGACCCCTTTAATCGTCTGAGGGTTCGGTGTAGAGCGATAAATAAGCATGAACCTCTCTAAGATCTCTTCGGTGGTCCCCTCCCCTTTAGATTTTTTTAGAGCATTTTTAAATGTACTCACAAAGCGTTCCACTTGACCATTTGATTGGGGATGGAATGGAGGTGTTCGGACGTGATGGATTCCATTCTGCCGACAAAATTGTGAGAAAATTACGGACGTAAACTGTGTTTTGTTGTCACTAACTATCGATTACGGGACTCCGAAACGACTGAATAGTTGACGTAGCTTACTGACTGTGCAGCTTGCAGTCGGGTGTTCCATGAGAAAGATTTCTGGCCACTTGCTATATGCATCAACTACCAAAAGGTAAGTTTGTCCATGAAGTGGACCAGCAAAGTCCAAGTGTATACGCTGCCACGGTGACTGTGGTATTGGCCATGATTGCAGCTCTGCTTTTCGTTGCTAATGCACATTTGGTACATGAACGGGATAGCTGCTCCAGTTGGGTGTCTAAATGCGGCCAGTATACATAACTTCGTGCTAATGCTTTCATGCGATTTATTCCAGGATGTCCTGCGTGCAACTGTTCAAGCACTGCTGGTTGTAGCTTCTTTGGGATTATGAAACGTTCGGCAAACAGCAGGCAGTCGTCGATGATTGAGAGAGAGAGTCTACGCTGGTAAAACTGTTGAAGCTCTGTGGAACTGATCTTCGCGGGCCATCCTTCCAGGTGGAACTTTCTAACTTCTTGTAGAATCGGGTCTCGAAGAGTTTCTTCTCTGACTTCATCTGACGACACTGGAGTGTTTCGAATGGCATCTGCCACTATACTTCGTATTTCTGGGTCTACTGCTATGGAGGCAATGATTATATCCTCTGGTCCAGGATGCTGAACCCCAATTAATCGAGAGAGAGCGTCGGCTTGACCGATAGTATTTGTCGACTGATACTTGATATTGAAATCATAACTCAGGAGCATTGTTGCCCAGCGCTGTAGTCTATTAGCCGTATAGACAGGGATTCCTTTCTTAGAACCAAAGATTGCAATCAAAGGTTTGTGATCTGTCAGTAGAGTAAATGTACGACCATAGAGCATTTTATGAAATCTTTTGACAGCGAAAATGATCGCAAGAGCTTCCTTTTCAATTTGACTGTAGTTCCGCTCGGCTGCGGTAAGTGATCTAGCAGCATGGGCAATTGTCTTTTCTGATTTGTCCGGAAACACGTGAGATATCACTGCTCCAACTCCATGACTAGATACATCAGATGCGACAACAATTTCCAAGCTGGGATCGAAGTGTGTCAAAAGAATCTTTGAACTGAGCATTGATTTGACTCTGTCGAAAGATGCTTGACATTCTGCTGACCACTGCCAAGGTTTATCTTTTGATAGTAATTCATTCAGGGGACCTCTCACTCGATGCATTTCAGGCAAGAATGTGCTATAATGACTGATTAACCCCAAGAAGGATCTTAATGAAGAGACATCAGTTGGTGCAGGCATCTTCTGAATGGCTTCGATGTTGGCAGGGTCTGGTCGGCGACCGTTCTTATCTAAGATAAAACCAAGGTATTTGATGGAATGCATAAAGAAAATACACTTTTCCTCACGTAGTTGGAAACCATATTCCAACACTCGGTTAAGGACTTGATGTAGTCGATCAGAAAGTTCATTGTCAGTTGAACCCATAACTATGATATTGTAGTGAACAAAACACCAGTGGGGACAATCCAGTGTATTTAACAACAAATTACAGAGCTAGTTAGTAAAATCAAACAACCATATATTGAATCGTTAATTTGCACATTGTTCATCAATTGTCTCAAATCACTCAGAATCCCCTTGTTCTTGCATTTTCATACAAATTACATTCTGTCTTCATTCTTTATTGTTCAATCTTCTTATCTCTCTGCCGCCAGACATTCTGTTCAGTGCTCACGTCATATACTACTTATGTCTACATAAGTAGCACACACCACAATATCATCTAGATAAGCTGCTGTACCAGGTATACCTGTTAGCATCGTATCCATTATTTGCTGAAAGATGACAGGTGCAGTCTTGATGCCAAATGGTAGACGGGTGTATTGAAATAACCCTCGATGAGTGTTAATGGTCAAAAGCTCTCTACTGTCTTCATCTACTTCTACTTGCAGATAGGCATTGGAAAAGTCTATATTCGCGAAACATGTCCCACCATTAAGTTTGGTAAACAGGTCTTCAGGAACTGGTAACGGATATTGATACACATCTAATGCAGCATTTAAACCGGTCGAAAAATCGGCACATATGCGTATAGTTCCATTCGCCTTCTTAATCACTACGATCGGTGCGGCCCATGCAGAGTAGTTGACTGGTTGGATTACACCAGCCTATTGCAAGCGATTAAGTTCCTGATCGACTAACTCAAGAGCAGCATATGGTACAGGACATCTAGGACGAAAAATAGGTTTGGCATCTGGTTTCAGTGGTAAATGAGCTTTCATCTTGGTACAGTGGCCAAGGCTATTCTGAAAAACAGAGGCAAACTTTCTTTTCAATTTTTCTAGTAACCTTTCACATGTCTTCTTTGCAAGTACTGGGGTGTCTAATGATGAACACAATACGTTGCAGACACTGTTAATCGGTACATCCATTATTCCAAGTTTATCTAACATATCTAGACCAAGAAGATCAAGGTTTGGCCGTTCTGTTAGGTAACATATTCCTGTACAGTTAGTTCCATTGAAGGAAAATTCACACTGTAATTCACCAACCAGTTTTAGCACACCACCTGATGCGTTTTTGGCCGTTTTCTTAGATGGCTTCATTGGCGGTTTACCCAGCAAGTTATACGTTTCTCTAGATACTAAGGTGATATCTGATGCCGTGTCAATTTGAAGACTAGCTGATATGCCGTTTATCTGGATGGTAACATACTTTCTCCGAATGTCATAGTTTGTTTGAAAGGCAGCTACCAGAGAAAGAGATTTAAACTCGGCTGAATTCACATGTCGAGAACGTTTATGCTTCTTTTTGGGATGAGACGTATGGTTCGGTGGACAATGACCTTCTTTATGTCCACGTTTGTTGCACACCTGACATATATGCTTTTTAAATGGACAGAATCGTACATAATGCCAATCACCACATAACCAGCATGCAGTCGTTGGTTTGTTACGAGTAGTTATCGGCTTCTTAACTTTTAACTTAGTAATAGCATTGACACTACTGCAGGTTAAATTAGGATTTACTTGTTCAATCAACTCGTTGTCGTGTCTGATGCTTTGTAGCCGCTTACACTCATCTGTCAACGTTCTGAGTGTGACGTTTGGGTCTTGATCCAGTCGAGCCAAAAGTCTAGTCCTGATCTCAGCATCTTGTGGTGACTGAAGAGCTTTGATGAATATTAGGCATTTAAATTGGTCTTCTGTCAACGAGCGTAACTTGAACCGTTCACATTCTCTGTTAACGATATCTGCTAAAGTACCATATTCATCGGCTTCGCGTTTCGCCAAATTTAGACACTGATGTCGAATACTAAACAATGAGGAGGATTCACCGAATATCTCTGACAATTGAATTATCGTCTCCTCGAAACTGAGCTCTCGAGGTAACTTAGGCAATATATGGTCAGCATAGCGTGCATGTTCATTAATTCCTAACTTACGTACCAACAGTCGAGTCTTCCACGCGTCGTCTTGGTTACAGAATTCTATTCTAAATGTATCTTCCCAACGTTTGAACCACGTGAGAAAAGTATTTCAGCTTTCGGGATCATAGATGAATTCTGGTATGCTGCTAGCAACTGCATCACAAGACGTACTCGAAATGGCATGTGAACTTGAGCAGTGGAAGCTAAGCTGTTGAGTCAGAGTCTCTAACAACCGCATTTGTGCATCTAATTGTTGTTGCTGTTGTAGTATTCGGTTAAGCTGGTCGTCTGATATGGACATATTGAATTTATTTTCCTTTTCCCTCGTCGCCACTGTTATATTTTCGCTCTTACGGTTATAACCCAGCTATTCCTATTGCTTAGTATTCACGGACACAGATTCACTCGACAAGGCCCTAAATCAGAACACGATTGAGCAGGAAGGAGATTATATTCCAAATAACAAGGTTAGGTGGAAGCAAGAAGCAAAATAGGAAAACCGTTAGTATATTTATAGCTTTTTACATAAGAAGAATCTAGAATCTTCTCCTTGTATCGACTAGCACTGATTGGATAAGAATCAGCCAATCAGCGTGCACCAAAGCAATCGTGCATTGAGCATGCTTAAATCCAACCTATGTCCCACTAACAGCTGGGGGCAGTTGCCTATGCAGTTACAGGTACAATCTCAGTTAAGCGTCTAAGTAATTAGACTTCACTGTTTTGCCTCTCATAGTGGATACCTGTTCTGTAGAATTTTATTAACACTACGGACCAGACAATATAGAATCATTCACTACTAAGCGGTCAGTTGGTATGACTGCATAAACGTATAAAGTTACTTGTCATCAGTATTGCTGTTTGTACTAACAAAATCGAAGTATGTCGCTTTCTTTCGTTAGTTCTAATGGTCAACCAGTTCTAAATTGTGTTCAAATAGCCTTACTAGGTTTATAACTAGTACAGAATATGTAAGACCTGTTGATGAATTTTTTTTATTATGGATAAATAATTAATGCTATTAATAAAACCTGTTAATTTACTTTAAGATGGCCTTGAGTCGGATACTCATTATCGTAACACTAACAGGTTCCCGAGCACAGATTTCATTCCGTAGTTTATTATAATTACTCTGAGCTCACTGTTTTAGTACATCTTTGCTCGCTAATTCATCGGTCCAGTAGTTTCTTGTTTTTCATATTGTTTAATATATGCACAGTTCGTTACACTTAGTTGTGTGTGCACATATTTGGGTAATTATCTGTTTAGTATCATTCAGAAGGTAAAAAAGTCTTTTTAATTTACTTCGATTTTGAATATGTACATTTACGCATCACTTTTGAATGTAGAAATATTTAGTAATCAATGTACATTGATTTACTTTAGAACAGCAGTGCTTGATATGTCCTCATTGCTAGAGAGACTTTTCACAATCTTTTTACATCATTGTTGCTTTAAAATCCTCACCATGTATATAATATTGGATAATCTCTTTCTGTAGGGAATTGGAAGAAGATTGTAGTGATCTTCTTGAGGGCTGCAAAGTGGAAGACCAACGCATGGAACAAAAGTTATCTATGTTTATCGACATGTCTGATGGAAGTGAAGTTAGCAAAGCAGAAGCTGTTTACACGACAAACTTATCCACTGCTCGCAATATGCTGTCTGAAGCAATAAAAAGTCAACAACACTCCAAAGAAATATGTTTCCCGCCTGGTATGCAAAAATTAATTCTAAAATAATTGTGTTCTATATTTGAATCAACAAAGTAGTAAGATACAAGGAACCAAGATGAATACTTCGTAAAATATTATTGCCGAGTTATAAAGATCGAATATGACAACATTTATAAAACTTAGCAACCAAATACAGCTATAAATGATTGCCTATTTTTTGTTTTTTCATTGTACACTGTACGGTCTCTAAAGAACAGAAAAGGAATGAAAGCAGTCTTTTGCAGATAGTTGGTATGTCAGGAAATCAGTAAAAGCTTTTCAAAATTTAAATTATTATTTCGGTGCTTTCGTTCTCCGAGCTGGATGGTTTAATTGTGAGGCTCCCGTTGTTCTCCTAAACGACATCATCAGGATAGACCTCAAGCGGAAGTGAGGCATTCGAATTTCTCCATATATGACCGAAAGATTGTCCTACCGATCTTGCGCAAACACTAGCTATACATCTGGACAAACCAGAATTATATGTCCATAAGAAACTGTGACAACCTCTTCTACCACGGTCTTAGTCTCTCGTATCTTTTCTTTCTTCTTCATACCTTTCTTCTCTCGTATCCATTTTCTTTCCCCTTATCTTAAACATAGAACTTTTCCCCCAACCGTTTCTGTTTCTATGATCCTCTTGATTACAGTTCATCACATTTTCAACATTTTATCATGTTGAGTCTTCCCTTCCCAGTTATGATTTCTCTATATATCTTCATAGTGAATATTCAAGCTCTCAACAAAATTATTATTAGTTCCCTTAATAAAAATAACGCTTTAATCCCGTTGTTTATTCTACCTCACTGTTATAATGTTTAGCAGAACTTGGTTGTTACAACTACTGTAATTATTATCATTTTAAAAACGATTCAGTATATATTTGTGACTTTACAGCTTTGAAAATGAATTCGCCGAAAAGAGAACTCTTCGCTGAACCAATCTTATTTTATGTTTTCATCTTATTGTTAGTAACATTATCAACATCATTACTGAAGCTCCCTTACTCGAACACTATTGGTTAGTCCAAATCTTACAGTGAACTGTCATATGCAGTCTTTACTTTAAGTCTGGTGCCTCAGCACCACCAATGTTTTTGTTTTATCTAATCGTAAAAACCCCTAAATATTTGTTGTCCCGGTTTTTGGATCAAGGCATAACGTTATATAAAGCGATTGATCTTCATTTTGAACCGTATAGTGGGATGCGAACTTTCTGGTCGGGTTCTGTGACATAACTAAGAGCAGTTACTGGCTTTCTTCCGTTCTACTGATTTACAATGCAGCAAGTTGAACCATTACATATTTATTATAGGTTTGTTGTTTAAAATTACGTCCGTTGATTTGAATGAACTAGTTCACATACGTTTATTTAATGTATTCCTAACAACGGAAAGTCATTTGACTGTTACTTGCAATACGATTCTAAGGTTACCGTATATTCTTATTCATTGTCCTAATTCTCTCGATTTTCTTCACCTAATATAATTACATGAGTTATTCCCCCTGAGCTCTATGGATGCACTGATTCTTTTTATCGTGGATGTAAGTGTCCTTCATTATGTAAGATTTGATATTCATGTGCATAACTTTTTTGTTGTCTATTCATAATTCAAACGTACTTAGTAACATTTCGACGTTTTTTATTATTTAAGAGATGATCCGTATAATGCTGAGATGTCTGTGGGCCCATGACGGGGATCTTTTAGTACTGTTATTTCCTATGCTTAAAGCCGCACGATTAAACCACACGTTTCCTACAGACGTATTTTTTATGGATAATGTTCTGTTGTCTCCTTCTCTTTGTCGTTGGGTAAGCAGTTTATCTTGAGTGTTGACTCTAATGTTGTATAATGTCCATACCCTGTTTCTAAGTATAGACATAAATATTTGTTAACAGAACTGTTTCTTTTCTGCCCTTTAAGTCATCTAAAACTTACAAAAGCCGAAGACAGACTAATTCCTTACTAGTTATATTTATACCGCCCTTTTATAGAAGGATCCCTAGGGTGTTTAACTCACTAAAATACTAACATATGCACACACAACCTCCAAGGGATTTGTAGTTGAAGCCAGTAATCCTGATTAACTGGCTATCTTCCTTTATTGTTTAAGTATAACTTTGTGCTAATGATGTCTGGAAACATAATGAATTCCTCATAATTAAATCATTTCACTCACGGAATCCAATATCATCAAAATCAACTTCCTGATTTACAAATTTCCACCATAATATATGCCTTTCTTAGAACGCAGTATTATAGTGTAAGGTTTAATCTTCCTGGCTAATTATATATTTATTGTTTTGTTCAAACATTGAAAAAGACTATGGAAGATGGTCGCGCGACGTCGTGGATTGGCTAAGTTTAGACAATAACGCTGTTGGATACTAACTCAGTGGTCTAGAGGTTAAGTGTTCGCACGCAAAATCTAAGATCTTGGGCTCGATTCCCAAGTGCGAACTCGTGGATCACGCTCATATACTCGAACAAAATGGTCTCCCAGTGCTTCCAGGTTTTCAATGGTGGTCTAAATTGGATCGCTTCATGATTTCATTGAAATTTAACTGGTGTGTGCTACTTATGTAGACATAAGTAGTGTATGACGTGAGTCGTGAACAGAATGTCTGGCAGCAGAGAGACGAGAAGATAGAACAGTAAAGAATGAAGACAGAATGCAATTTGTATGACAACGCAATAACAAAGGAATTCTGAGTCATTTAAGACAATTGATAGACATTTTGAAAATTGAGCATTTAATATATGGTTATTAGATTTTACTAACTAGTTCTGTAATTAGTTGTTAAATACATTCGATTGTCCCCATTAGTGTTCTTGTTCACTACACAACAATCTTCATTACCTCATACTGAAAATTAAAGAATCATGTTCTAGTATTGGATTTTGGGTTTTCCATAACATTGGGAAATCCTTATGAACTCTAGTAGTGGCATACTTTGTACTCACTTTAACCTAAACTTCAATAGTCACAGGCCGAATTTTAGAAAGCTGATGAGTACTTCTCTGTGTGATAATAATGAGGCTGATTTTTCACTCTAAATATTAGATGAAATCTCGGTTGTTGTCTTTGTATTGCATTTGATTCGATGAAGTGAAGTATACTAATTTTTTATTTCAGCCACGGCATGTTGGGAATTTGGTTTATGAGCATCCGGAGACTGCTGTTTATGTCCGTATTGTAAAACGAGCCCAATGTTTACACAATATCGTAGAGTTTATCCGTCAACGCAATGAAGTGAGCAATTCTGCTGATGTAAATAAACCTCCAGAACCAAAGTCCACAACTAGTGATGGCGATTTGATTGATGATGCACAATCAGATGGTGCACTGAAACTTGCAACTGTGCTTCTCCAAGCAGCTGTTAATGGAATATACGATATGAGTATGGCAATCACACCTCTAGGATTAGAGTCCAGAAGTGGAATCAGCAGTAACGCAGTTCGACTACCCGGTCTAAGACAACGTTTAGAAAGAAAAGAAGGTCTCTTCCGTATGCACATGATGGGAAAACGTGTTAATTTCGCATGCCGTTCTGTTATTAGTCCGGATCCAAATCTCAGTGTTACTGAGGTGAGTTTTTATCTCATTTAAATTCATTTCATGAACTATTATTTTGATCTTTAGTTACCGGTACTTCATATGAACCACGAATTCTTTATTGAAATATAATTACGAGCTACTCACTAGTAATACGGGGTAGCGTTAATCTTCCTAATATTTCCAAATACTATTACGTTATGCAACCTTTCTTATTTTCGGTGTTTTATCAGTCTCAAAATATTTTAGAACGTTTTCAACAAATGCTATCTTATAGAAAGTTATCGGTTAGTATGGTCTTTTTTCTTCCTGTTCACCAAGTTTTTAAAACAATTATCTCAAAAATTATTCTCTTAACTTCATTTGACCCACTAGTCAGGAGTATTTTGTTGTTCAATATCCACAAAAGGTAATTTCAAGAGTAGTATTCCCATATTAAGTAACTCAGGAATCCTAGTTATAATATCCTATCAGAAACAATTTTTGTGTAGTTCATATTTGACCAAAATATGAGATATGTATAATATCATTCCTATCCTAATCTCGTATATCTTTGTATCATTTATGTTTCACTTACTACTGACCTTTATTGAGATCTTGGGAAGTTTTGACATGACTGTTTGATATTTCTGTGAGCGTTGATTGAAATGATTTGTTCTCCAGTACGGTCAAGTTCTTTGACTCTGTAACTTAGTGATTTAAGCACTCTCAATTATTGAACGATAGGTTCGAATTGCGTTTACCTACTTCAGTTTAGGTCACTGGGCAGTATTTCCAACCTTCATACCATAAGTATAACTCAAAGCCTAATATTTAACCTGAGGTAGTCCACTAAGTTGTATTAACATTGGTTTATTTTGGTTTATATGTAGTTTTCATATTTCAAGCCAACTCCTTCAGTACTCCTCTTTTTTCTAAAGAATATGGGTGATCCATGGTAGCTTATATGTACTTTACTTTTTCCACCAGAGCTATCAGACAATGATTTTAAGGCAATTACAGTCAATAGTACTGCTGAATGTGCAGAGGTGTGACAGCAGTAAGGTGTTTCCTCCAGACAACCAGCATGACAACGATGCTGCCTTCCCACAAGGAGGGTTGGGGTTAGAAAAGGTTGACCCTAAATATGCACACCTCGCCTTATCCCACGGATATCCGTTTCCGGCGGTAAGGTTTCAACAAGTACGGAGCTAACACAAAAACTACTCATAAAAAGGTCGTGTATGACCGACCTTAGGCAGCTGTCCCTTGGGCACTGTGGTCACGCTCTCAGGTCACTATGACCACCTCTAATCCAATTTCCTTTTCAGGTACCTCCAGAAGAACCCTTCCACGATGTGGGCAACCGGGAAGTGATAACCGCCCTCATGCCTCTAACAGCACTCAAGACTGACTAATTCGGCGAGTGGCGCCCCCAGAAAACTATCTGCTTCAGTTTAGGCGCCCGGGTAGTATCTCAGCCCTCACGCAAATCGAATGATTCGTATGGAGTATATATATTTGGTGCCTCCTTGTACCAATGTTTATGCGTTTAAATAAATAAATGATATGCTATATGAGATTCGATTTCATGTCTCTACACTCTCCTTTTGTTGAATTCCAGTCATGCTTCTCATTGTTTATGACGATTTAATCGATTTGGATGGAATCATAGCACATTCATTTTCAATATTGTTGCATATTCAAAGCGTCTGTACTTTTTACAATGCTTATTACCGATCTAGTTATTTATGCAGTAAGTGGACCTCTGCTTTACTTCACAGAGTTTGTAATACCACAAGCATCGTATGTCTTTCCTTTATTTTCGGGATCTATGTAACTAAATTTTACAATGATTTAAGTAGTGCGGCTTGGTAACAAAATGCAAGTTTGTGTACTCAGTTTTGAACCATACGTTTTATTTGAAAGCTAGCGCTCAAAGCGGAGTAGGTAAGGCTGAGTTCCAACTCCATGGCTTTGAATATTTGATTTTATGCAATAAAATAATTCATATTCCTTCTCTACTCAGAAAGTCTTTTTCTGAATAAATAATATAATCCGTATTTGATTTGGGTGGAATAATTGGAATCCAAGGCGTGCACTCTCGGTATGAATAAATTTGTTTGTATTGAATATGGTACCTAATAGATGATGTTATGTACCTTAAGCCATTTTGCTAATCATTGATTATTGTTCACTATAAGCTACAGTATAATAGTGTAATATAGTAATATTTTCCTTGTACAAATTCGATGCAAGTGTCAAGCAGATAGAAATAAAAGAGTATACGATATTTTTGATTTTGTCTATCAATGTCCATAATATTCACCTGTATATGCTTGTAAATTATCCACTCATTATAGACTTCATATTATACATTGAGATACTTTAACATATTTTATTACCTAATTAACTGTTTCCTCATCAATATTTAGGTTGGAGTACCGTTATTTTTCGCATTCCGTCTAACATTCCCAACACCAGTAACAAAATTCAATTTAGTCCATTTACGTCAATTAGTAATGAATGGACCAAATAACTATCCAGGAGCTACAAGTATTCAATTTTCAAATGGTATCATTACTATGCTGCCACCAAATGATACTCCACAGGCTAAAAAGAAACGTGAAATGTTAGCTTTGCGGTTAAAACCACTTATTTCGGGTAAAGATAACATACCTATCATTGTAAGTAACATGTTCTTTTTTCTAAAGAAAAATATTCATTCCACTGTTTTTATCCACTAGTATGCAATACAATTTGCATTACATTTTCTCAATTTCACTTCAATTCTTCCCAGGTTAATCGTCATCTACTTGATGGTGATATGCTTATTATGAACAGACAACCAACCCTTCATCGGCCTTCAATGCAAGCACATCGTGTTCGAATAATAAAGTGCGCTGGAGCAAAAACCCTCCGATTACACTATTCAAATTGTAAGGCTTACAATGCAGATTTCGATGGGGATGAAATGAATGGTCATTTTGTTCAAAGTTATGCAGCAAAAGCTGAACTTGAAACATTAGGTAAACTAATCACTTAACTTTGTTCTGATCTGATCTGCAATACTATCAATTAGAACTCATTTAATCAAGTTTTAGTAAAGTTGGATTGTGGCTAGCAGTGTAATCTAGGACCCACGGTTTGTCAATCGGATGTGCTTGCAACCTAGTTTTGATGTTCACACCCAGACTCAACATTAGGATCTCGATACATTCGGTTAATAAATCACAAATAGAACAGACGCGCTTCCTGGATTTCACTAATAGCCACAGCCCAAGTTTATTAAAATTTATGTTTAAAAGACAGTATTAGGGTAATCCCCTCAGGATTCACTTATGCTAATAAAGACTGATCAATTTCAAGAAAACTGGGGCTCGTGTATATACCACATTTGATCAGTGTGACTTGCTTACGGTATTTGTTCTAATTTAATGGTCTTTTTGATTTATAAGAATTTATTTATTGATCTCTGATATGATATAAGTCAGCTACGTAGATCTCGTAATACAACAGTCTTTTGTTATACATTAGTTTAGTTTAAATTATTTCACTACATAGACTATCGCTTACTTACATTCAGAAACACTAGTTTCGTATGTTTCTTTTTTTTTCTAAAGTCGTCAGTTATGTTTCAGTTTAGACTCGGAAAGGTGTGGATCAATTTTTCGATTGAATCTTCATTCATGATCTGGTATGCTAGTGTCAATGAAATTTTTCACATCATTTATTATTGCCAACTATCTAGTAACTCCAAATTTCGAAAGAAATTCACTCATTATCCATGTCCACTGCCAAAACTTGTTTCTTCCATAATCTGTAATAATTATTTTATCGTGTTATATCTTTTCAGAAAACATTTCCTACTGATATTTGTTTATTTTTCCTCATTGCTTTGTGTATTATTTTTCATTGAAATTGTGTTTAGCTTCTGTTCCACATCAATATTTAGTACCTAAAGATGGAACACCACTTGCTGGGCTTATACAGGATCATGTTATAGCAGCAGTTAAATTAACAATGCGTGATCGGTTTTTCGAGCATGCTGATTATTTGGATCTTGTATATCATGCTCTTCGACCTTTATTCGATATAAACAGACAAACATCTTCGGGCCCACCATCTATTATCACAATTAAACCTGCAATATGTTGGCCGAAATGTCTTTGGACTGGGAAACAGGTACTTTGATTTATATAATGGTTTAAGCACGTTTTGTATTGATTTCCCCCCTACTATTTCATCATCATTTAAATCATTCACTGAAAGTATATGACTAAGTTACTACTTACAAATTTACTTGTCAGCTTTACAAAGGTTTCAATATTACTTGATTAGTCTCGTTTTGACGGAGCTGGTGTACAATTTGTATTGTTAACTTGATACCTGACAAATAACTAAGCAATGATCCATCAGATTATTAATTTAGGACAAGTACACCCTTATTGTCTATAGTAATATATTCAATCCTGTAAATAATTATATAAAAAATAAAGTGACCTTTATTTTGCAGAGGTTTAATATATCACTTATTATCTCTGGATGATATTATTCACTTTCGAATTCTAGAAACCTCTCTAACGCCTCTGATAAACAATAGCTATCTGTGCAATTCTGTCTTGTTATTGAAGATGTTAAATCTATAAAAAGAATCACTTGACTATTATTTTACTGTTATTTTTGGAAATTTGAATTTAATCTTTTTTTGCGCCGATAAGTCTTCATTGAAAGAAGAAGCAAATGTGTATCTTAGTTATTTAGTATGTCTGAATTAATTTTTTTGTCGCTTTCGATATGTCACGGGCATTAAATATAACTGAACAAGCATATCTACTCGTCTAATAATAACAAAGGTGAGATCGACTTGATTAGTATATGCTTTGAGATGGTACCAATATGTTGTTTCATTTAGTAAAAAATGATAGCCGACTCACTGACATCACTCAGTGATTATGTAGTCGGAAATAACGTGGAACCAAGAGGATGATCTCATCACGCTTGATAAAATAAAAACGCTACCAATACGTTCAGATGATTTTATCTAATATTTATATTTTTTGCTCTCTTTTTCAGGTTATTTCAACACTGTTAATAAATCTCACACCTTCAGGTTTATTACCACTAAATGCTACCCTGTTAGGTCGACGAACTAAGGCTGAACTTTGGTCTGGAGTTGCTCCCGGTGAACCAACACCATTATCCGATGTAGATTTAGTTATATGTGATGGTTATCTTGCATCTGGCATGTTAGACAAATCACATATCGGTTCAAGCAGTACAGGTTTGATACATTGCGTATATGAAGCATATGGTCCTGAATCTGCTTCATGTTTATTAAATGGGATTAGTTTACTAGCCAATAGGTTTTTAAAATTCATTGCCTTCACAATGGGTTTGAAAGATATTTTACTTTCACATAGAGCAGATGAAGAAAGACAACGTCGTTTCAGTAATCTTAAAGATCTTGGCCTCTGTGCTTTTGCAGACACATTCAGTTTAAAACCAGACGAACTAACCGAATCTAATGTAAAGCGTTTGTATCGTCAAGCACAATTCCCATCATCAACGGACCAGTCTTCTCAAAAGCGTCTTGCTCAGTTGGACATGGCAATTAAAGATAGACTAAAAAGGGCGCAAGACGCAGTATGTGACTCTGCAATCCCAGGAGGCTTATATGTTGGTTTTCCAGAGAATAATTTACAACTCATGGTTCATGTCGGTGCTAAAGGTGGTATGGTAAGTAAGTGTTTAGATTTTTATTACATGCCATAAATACGCAGTTCGTTGTAAAATAAAACTAGAAACAGTGATTAAATTATCTTCGTGAATTTTGTACTCGTTAAAAAAGGCAATCAACAAGTATATAGGAGTTTTTATACGGAAAGTATACATATTGGGCTAAGGTTATCTCAAAACATTTACAAAGACAATATTCGCAAGTTACTTTCGATGATAACAGTTGAGCAAAATTTACAAGAAATACTCAGGCTACTTTTAAATAGATAGTAGTAGTGTTGAATTACTACAATTTGGTGGAATTTTGAAAATTTTCCTATGGTACATAATATTCTGAAAATTTTGTTGATCATATTCTAGTACTTAAGTGCTACAACTTTCTTTCACTACAAAGTATAGTTCATAATAATGAACGATTTTTGAAATTTAACTTTTGTACAGCAAATTTTGTTTGTGCTTCGAGCTGATTCTATGACTAAATTTCTAATTTTGCTGTTCAGATATCATTGATAATCGATGTGTTTGTATACTTTTGTTATTTGTACGCTTCTTTCTTTCAGTTGTACTATTCCAGATCACTTTAAGTAGTTTTTTCAGCTTCATTGTGTTCTTAAAAGTTTATCTTTAATTTTATCCATTTATTTCAAAGGTTAATGCTCAACAAATGTCTGTCGCTCTTGGTCAGATTGAATTAGAAGGTCGTCGTGTCCCACTAATGCTAAGTGGCAAAACGCTACCTTCGTTTCCACCTTACGATGTTCGCCCACGTGCTGGCGGTATGTGTACTGCTCGATTTCTCACTTCACTACCTGCACAAGAGTTGTTTTTCCACTCGATGGCAGGTAGAGATGGTCTTGTTGATACAGCTGTAAAAACTAGTCGATCAGGTTACTTACAGAGGTCAGCTATTAAACATTTAGAGGTTAGTTTCCTATATGAACTACAATAACTCATCACTTTGCTTATTTAAGGTAATCTTACACAATCTGTAAAATTCTGTATGCTAGTTCCTATTATTCAGCAGGATTGATAGCTATCAGTTCCTCAAATTTAGCTTCTCTTTCGTGGTATGTCAGTGAAAAGTCACTACACAGAGGAAAAATAAGGAATCAGGGTTGACTCAATGCTGCTAGTTCTGGTTGACGCATCGTTGGTTTAGCACAGGGACAAGGTTATAGAAGTCAGTGATTTTGTCACGTGAAATTGACGAGCCAAAGGATATAACAGTTCCTCAAGTTGTCCAGTGCTCCTTTGGTTTCAGTCTCATCTTGGAAACCACCAGGTGGTGATCTGAAGCTATGTCAGTTCCTGTCCCGGTTCTCATGTCTTCCATTGACCTGAATTTTTTACTGATGTAAATATGATTTATCTGGTTTTCTGTAGTGTGATTCACTGAGACCGCTTCATGTATGCGTTAATGGAGGAATATTGTACCACCTACAACCATTTTGTCGAATGTATATAAATTAACAAATCTGTCACCATTCTCGTTCCTTTCTCCCAGTCAGTCATGTTGTCTCTTGATATCTTCATACCCACTGTTGTCCATTTAGACCTTGACGTTTAGGTCTCCCGTCAGGATGGCCAAAGTTGCTTTCTACGGAACGGGGTTGCTGACCAATTTCCTCAACCCTCCTCTTTTACCCGGGTTGGGACCGTCAGAAACCCTAGAAGGGCTGCAGGTGGCTATTAAATCACCACTATAAGACGAAATCGTAAAAATAAATGACAAGGGAGTAAAAGTAATAACAGTGTTGGTGGTAGTAGAAAAGATTACACATAGACAATGTGATTCGATGAGGATTAATGGATTCTCATAATAAAGAAGCACGAAATATAATGAAAGGCAAATACTGGATGCATCTATGGTACTCCAATCGATTCAGAGCTATGTCACTCAACGTATCCACAGAATCATGATCTAAGATTACTTTCACCAACAAGTTGTTCATTTTACAGCTTACTATTCATCTCTTTCACTTAATGTTGGTTATTCGTATTTACAAATTTCGTTTCCTTTATTATCTATACACGAATGCATTTTTCACAGGATTTAAGCATAAGTTACGATGGAACAGTGAGAGATTCAGGATCTAATATAATTCAATTTCGATATGGAGACGATGGAGTGGATGTATGTCAAGCTGGATTTTTACAACCTATTGGTTTACATTTCTTTGCTGATAATGTAAATCTAATGAAGATGCGTTGGCATTCTGATAAAATCAATACTGATAATCCAGCATATGCTCATTTATTTGAGAAAAACACACTTCCTAAACCTATACAAATAATGGCTGACCAAGTTGGTGTTAAGAGACAGTGTGTAAGTTTAAAGTTTAATTCAATAGTATTGTTATGAATTGTTTTCTGTAAATTTGTACATTCAACTTTCAAAGGTCGATAACATACGTTGATTGTTCTGATTTATGACATCAATTATTATTCAGATGATAATGAAACGTACTCAATTCTCTCTTATAGAAGACTTATTGATTTGGTATTGTCTTATTTTACTCACTATACATAGTTTTTAATGGTGTTTTCAGTATAAGCTTGTACGTAAATTATTAAGTGTATTGTCGACGTTTATGTGGATCCATCTGTTATCATCTACTATATTACTAACGCTTGGATAATAGTAGCTAACACAAAATAACAAATACATAGTTAAGAAATATAGGTATGTATCATTTCATAGACAAAGTGAATGACTTGTTTTTCATTATCATATAATAGTTGTCAATATAACTGCTTTTTCAGTTCACTTGTATAATGAAAAAGATTTCTGTTTCTGATATGAAGGACAAGATCTCAGTTCATTGGAGATTGAATGGTCTGGACAATTTTTATCATCCAGCCATTTGTACTATTTAATCATGTTTATTTTCTTATTAACATCTATGTAAACATGTTATTTTGTTAAAAGAAAATCATATTTTAGCTATTAGTTTGGTCTTCTTATATCAGTTTAATTGGAGGCCTTACACCAATAATTCGGTCTGATGAACTGCCATCGCTTATGCAGATTGCATCATCGTCTATTATCGACCAATCAATCAATATTGTATCCATTAATTTAACTATCAAATTCTTAAATGTTTGTTCATTAAATTATAAAATCTATTCTATAGAATTGTATAGGCAAATAATTTAAACTTATAACAACAATAGTATATCGATATTTTTATAATATGATTAATAGGGAACCATTAGATACCAATGCTAAAATTCTCAAAATAATAATACATTATGGATATTTTGTAAATGTGTAACATCTACTGAGAAAGGAATTTTGCACCCATTCTAATCTAATGTAATATACAATAGAAAATTGTAATTTTAGTGTTTTATTCACTTCTCAGTCCTTGTTCGTAATAGATATCAATGAGATAAAAGTATACTCGTGTGTTTATGCATTTGCTTTTATGTTGTTTTGCTTATGATCTAGTTTAATATCAATAATTGCTGTACGTGGCTTTTTCAATGGAATCTAATTTTTTAATTTCAACTTGTTTAACATTTTAGATCCTACATAAAACTGTATCAAAGCACAAACTTGTCAAACTTCTCAATAGTAGTAAGATGGCTCATAAAGCATTAAAAATAATGGAAAAGGAAGAGCAAGCACATGGAAAAGATAAGTTAATGAGTGAAATAATTCATGAACCACCATGTGCTACAGCGGCTGAATTAAGAGATTTATGTTTAGCCAAAATTATCAACGCTCAAGCACCACCTGGTGATCCTGTAGGTTTATTGGCTGCACAATCAGTTGGTGAACCTTCTACTCAGATGACATTGAATACTTTTCATTTCGCTGGACGTGGTGAAATGAATGTAACTCTGGGAATACCACGCTTACGAGAGATTCTCATGTCCGGATCATCCAATATAAGTACACCATGCATGGAAGTTCCTATATGGCCTACAAAAGAAGCTCAACAACTTAGTGAACAAATAGCTAAGAAATTTTATAAACTGAAATTATCTGAGGTGATTCAGTTTTTTTTATTTTTTCAGTGTAATATTTGTTTATATATATATATATATATATATATATATATATATATATATATATATATATATACAAATAACTGCCCTATATACATGTATGTTTATATTGCAGACTTTAAAATTGCCTATTGGTCAAAAAGTGAACTATGTATCCGATTCGTGTACATTTGAATTTAATTTACAACCAAAATCAGTCTATTCTGATCAAAGTCATGTAACACCTGTTCGTGTTTTACGTTTTCTTGAACGTATTCTATTCCCAGATTTAGCTCATCGTTTAAATGAAGAATTAAAGGATCAAGGAAAAACTAGGTATGTAGGAATTATTCCTTTTTTCCTTCAATATTTGATTGTTATTTATTTTTTGTTATATTTTACCAGCTTGTTACTTGTTCACTAAGGAAAAACCTTCTTTTTCGCCTATGATTATTATTTTAAACACTGAAAAATTAAAACCTAAGTAGTAGTTTGTTTAAATTTACATATTTTTTTTGCTTAGACTTGAAAGTAAGATTGTATACCATTATAACAGGTTGATTCCAGCGAAATTAACCTTTATTGTTGACAGATGGTACAGAATCGTTTTAAATTGTAACAACGTATATAAAATAGATTTTGGCTCTGATTAACTTTCTCATAAATAGCTTAGTTATCGTTCAATTATACACAAAATATAATTTAACATCTCTACTGTTATACAAAAAGGGGATAAAAACATAACTACCCAATTGTTTTTATTTAGTTGTGAATAATTCAAACCAGATTTTACTCCATTTGCTACTTTCAAGATAATTAATTATGTCCTGCAAATATACGTTCATTCAATATGTACGTGTGTGTGTTTGTGGAGTACTTCAATGAATTTTTAATTGAAGCTTTGTCATATTCCTAAAAAGCAAATCTCTTTCTTGGTTATCTTTTGGTTGTCTTTATGTTTTTTAAAATACACTTGTTATTGGATAAATATGCATCATAATAATTGGATCGTTATGATGAATCGGATAAATTTCTATTATTCACACTTAGATAACTTACATTTTCTGATGTTTGGTTAACTGTGTCTGTGTTTAACAGAATGTAACCAAATTAATCAGATTATGAAATTGTTTGTTTTATTATACTTGAGACAAATTAACATGTTATATTTTCTCTAAATGAGTTACATATGTATGTTTTGATATGAGATATAAAATATCTTTAATTGGAATCATAATAAAAGTATTTGCTATCCTTGAGTACAGATCTAAGTTGTCTAAACAACCTTAGTTTTCTTGAAAAGGCTTGGACCAGATTGCCAGGCGAAACGTTGGATTTACATTAAATTCTTTCACTGAGATCTTACAAATACATTCTTCCTCTCTAAAGCCTTAGTTTTCTTGTTTCAACTATTCTTAAACATTATCGACATATGACGACAGACAGTATAACTGAATATCAGTTATACAGCTTTTAAAATATTCAGCTTTTTATTTTCGTGTACATACCGAGTATATTATCATTTTGAATTTTTTTATTTGGTTTATTTCCTATTCACTATTCAACTTATTTATATTTCAGTTGCTATTTTGTCTTATTCTTTTGGAATTCCTCTCAATTCGACATTCTTGAAATGTAGAAACATAAATGAATTACCTAGTGTATCAGTGTTTTTAATCTTTGCTACTAATATATTTGTTTACCTTTTTCGGTATCTTTACAATTATGAAAGTCTTTTTATATTTATACTCTTACATTAAAATCGAAAGTGGATAATTCTGCATGGAGAACATCCGTCGATCACTTTTAATGAATATGGGGTGTCAAATTAGCCAGACAATGTTTGTATTTCAACCAAGTGTATAGGATTTTAGAATTTTTTATAATTTTGCTTAATGTATAATAAACAATGATCAGGATTATTATTATTTATTATTTTCTTTATTCAACTAACAATTTTAAGTAACAACAATAATCTCATCAATGAAGTAGAAGTATTCAATAATACACCAATAACGAATCGTTACAATACTTTTGATTATAGAACTCCAAACTTTGTAATACAAAACAATCTTGTTCAACTACTAGAAAACTATGATCCTTCAACAAACGGGATCAAATCCAACCAAACAAACGAAGCCTAAATGATATTGCTGTGCAAACTACGTCGATTATGGTTGTTACCTTCGACTAGGATTGTTCGTTTAAACTATGAAGACAAACAATATATTTGTAATATCTCAATGGGTAGAAAAATTAGATTTTCTGACGTTTCGTGACTCAATGTAAGCCACTTCCTCAGAGAATAAATCTATCTAGTTTATCTACTCATTGGGATATTACAAATATGTTATTTATTTACACCAATCTACCCAATACTCAATTTATTCGAAACTATTAAGTCAAACCTTGGTAACGATACCTATGAAGACAAACGTTTAATGGATCATAATGCGCATACATAATAATATCTTTTACCATAACTGTTATTGTTAGCCACTCATAAAAAGTGTATGATTTAACCACCTTTTTAAGTGAGAATTTTTCCACTCTAATAGTTGATAACTTCTTAGCTACTTCCTAGATCTGCAGGGTTCTTCTAAACCTCAAACTTAGACGACAGAAAAAAGGTGCAAAGTGAGGACAATCTTTAGTTTAAGGTTAGTTTATGCACATAAAATAAAAATGTTTCTAGGTTTACATGTAACTATAACATTCTAGAAGCTCCAGGATTTATGCTAAATTTAGTAACAAATTAGGTAGTCATATAATCAAAGAGTGACATATAATCTGTTGATTTTCTGATTGTTTCTGAGAGGTTTCTATTAGGTGCTGATTGAACAAACCATATATTTAACCCAGGCACCATTATTGCTGTGCTATATGTGTCTGTTCATTAGCACTACCGTTTTGATACTGTCTGAATGTGAATTCTATACCTTTCGTTAATTTATTTCAGTCTTATAAAAAGCTTTGCCTTATCTGCTATGGCTCGTCAACAGCAAGCTGGTCAAAATAAAAACTCAGAAGAACCAGCTGAGGATGCTGATATTGTAAATCAACCAGGTATTGGTCGTACTCGTGCACAAGACGAATGGAATGAAGATGATGGACATGAAGTAGGTTTGTATTAACTGAATCTTCAGTATGCCTAGTTTCATTGTTAGGATTTGAACTTTGTTGTCTATATGACTAGTTAATTAGACATCTAAATCTTTAATTTTGATGTGGTTAGAATTCTTCCATTCAAATCTCGGTCAGAATTGTTATGTGCTGACGTCGAAGATATGATTCATGAAATATAAATTAGTGAAATAAAAAATTATACGGGATTCAGAAGCATAGCATCCAAGAGAGACAAAGAATGGATATGATAAGTCTTTTAATTGAACGTTATATGTAGTTCCTAAGCTCTTCTAGTAACCTCCAGACTAAATCTACACAGCGACTTGAACACGACAGAAAAGGCGCAAATTATGGAAGAAACGCTTTACTCCAAAGGTCCGTTTATATACAGAAAATCTAGGGTATTTATAGTATTTTAGATTGTCTTGGGCTTGCAGAAATTTCTGGAAGGCTACTAAATATAGTAGCAGTATAGGTAGTCATCCAATCAGAAGCTCGACATGTGACTTGTCACTTTTATATGTTTATGGCAAAACTTGCATTGAATGCTGATTTGACAAGATGTTTCTTGGCGTTTCCAGTCTTTTTGACTTTCTTTCGTGGAGTTTTCTAGATCTCCCCGACAGGATTCATCTTCACCATTGCAAATGATTTTGAGTCATGTTATTCTAAGTCTTTATTCACTGGTTATAATAATCACTCCTTCCCCAACCAAGTAGCTTACACTAACATAGGCCAGTCTAATTGGTAACGACTTCATGAAATGATGCCAGGTTTCGGTTTGGCGAATTCTAATATTCTCCCAGCCTACTCCTACACTAAACAGCATCGCCTGTCGAGGTAGACGGTGTGTTGTGTTTTAACCACCTTAGTTGATAAAGATTTACTACCTCATCAATCGATTTGCCATCCTTACCTAGTACGCCATATCTAATCCAGTAGTTGCCTACTCGATGGTCCCAAAATACACGAGAAATGTTTCCAAGACATCTACGGTCAAATACTGGTAACCCACGAATATCCTCTACCCTTAATGAACATTTTTTCGCACCCGTAAAATAGAACGGAACGAACTGCTGTACAGTGCATTCGTCCTTCGGAAGACGAATATCTCGCCTAAACCATAAATGACGCAAGTTGGTAGAAGCCAATCGATCCTTCTGAATCACTGTAGTGATTTCGTCAGAAACCAGACCTTTTAGGACTAATGGGACTGCCAAGATAAGTAAAACGGACAATGTGTTCAATTACTTCACTCCCTATCGTTAATTCAGGCGCTGACGCAGGCCAATCTTGTAGTAGCACTTTAAATTCTCAGGGAGAGAATCGTATCTCAGGCACACTTGCATTGTTGCTTAAGGTGGTCAAAAGACTTTTGTCAGTGTCACTAAATGCTCTGGTACTGCCGAGAGTAGGGAGGGTCAGCTCTCCCTCTCAAGATGCTCTCACATGGCCACGTGCATACAACCACTGCCAGGGAAGAAGTCCCACTCACTGCCTTCTGTAGGTGGTGGTGTTGTCTAAGAAACTGAGGATAAAAAGCGAATGTCGAGCGCCTTAGTCGGGTTGGTTGATACGGAGGATCGAGGTAGGGGAGATGGAAACCCTGATTACAAACCAGTGGTTCCCATGACCTTCAGGATCCTAAGGAAACAAATGGCGTATGAACCTATTCTTGGTCACCGTACACCATGGGACTGAATCTCCCAAAGTTGCTCCACTGCCTTGTGGTTCAGACCTTCAGGTCAAAGGCTTAGGGTGTGACCCCATAAGAAAACCACCTGCTTCGGTTTGGGCAACACAACTATATCATCTGCATTTTCTGAGTAAACAAGTGAATTTCCTGGTAGGAGATCAACCCCTGAAAAGTCAGAGGACGGAAGTGATATCTCTTAAAGTATGTCTAGGAAAATGTTTGGGAAAAAAGTGAGAAAAGCGGACAATATAAACTTCATTGGGAAATTTGTTATAAAAACAACACCCACGTTTATTTTAAGCCGAAAATTTCCTATTACTTCCAAACATTTCATTTTATTTATTTGAACACATAAATATTGGTACAAGGGGGCATCAGATATATATGAGCCACTTGCAAACAACTTTGTTGATCAGCTACTCAATATAACTTTTGATCTTCTTGCATTTGTCACGTATTGCTGTGTTTGAAGAGATTACGAGATGGCCTAAAATCGACGAACGAAACAAAGGATCACCGACACACAAGACAGCCAAACTATTCCAATGCTTCCAAGCCTTGCTAACTAGAGGGAGAAGTTCAGGTTCAGATGAGGGAAAGTGTGTTCCACAAGCGACCAGAAGCACAAACAACGGCAAGTACACAACTGAAACACATATATGCAGCATTAAAATGTCATTGGGAAAGATGGCAAAATAGCATATTAAAAAAGACAACCAACCAATGACATTTAGGGTCCTTTCAAGTGGGAAATACAATCTGCAGATAAAAGTGGGCGCTTTTAGTGCGAAAATGAGAAGTCCGAATTTTCGAAATAAAATTACAAAAATAAGACGTTTACCAAGTGATTTCCGAGGATCTAGCATCCCCAACATATATATGAATATGGAAGGAAGCAAACACAATTATGTCAACGTTGTTCCTTAATGTTGTCATCTGATTACATCCATTCCATCGTCTCCATATCGAAATTGAATTATATTAGATCCTGAATCTCTCACTGTTCCATCGTAACTTATGCTTAAATCCTGTGAAAAATGCATTCGTGTATAGATAATAAAGGAAACGAAATTTGTAAATACGAATAACCAACATTAAGTGAAAGAGATGAATAGTAAGCTGTAAAATGAACAACTTGTTGGTGAAAGTAATCTTAGATCATGATTCTGTGGATACGTTGAGTGACATAGCTCTGAATCGATTGGAGTACCATAGATGCATTCACTCTTTGTCCCCCCTTGTATCCTGGTTTTTTAAAATTATCTTTAATAAATCTGCTAAGTGGGTTTTTCGGAATTTTCTGGAATCGTACTATATATTTTAACAGTATTGGTTAATATCTATTCTGAAATGTACGTGGCTTCGCTTTCTATATGTTTCTGAGAATCTTCTATTCTTTTTTAAGAAATACTTTGAAACTTTTTAAAATTTAATTTTTCCATATGGGAATCCATCCATCTTTATCTAATTATACTGTCTATGTGCAATCTACTCTACTGACATTGTTACTACTCTTGTTTCTTTGTCATTTGTCTTAACAATTTCATGTGATCGTGGTTATTTGGTGTGACAAATTAAACTGATGTACAAGTGTGCCAAATTCTACATCGCCTACGATTTAAACATCTTATACTAAAATAATACATTAAATGACACTGATATATTAATCTCTATTACTCTACTTGATACGATTGAATTAGATTTCCAAATCCTAATGTTACCCCTGGTGCAGTGGTGTCTCAGTGACTAAGGTATTCAAATTTTAGTCATTGGATCTTAGGTTTGATTCTCGCTCCACCTAACCTCTGTTTAAATGACCGGGTATTTTCACTATCCTACACATGAAGCTATTTACTCGAATCTGTATCTGGCTAGTGAGTTAACTGAATTCAAATTATTACCCTTATCTAACCTCGTATTCATAAATGAGACTTCTTCGATACTTCTATTTTTCGCCCAAGACAGTAGTGAATAATAGAAATTGTTGTAACGACTTAGCAGATACTTATGACCGTGAACATTTTCAAAATTCTAAAAATAATCATGAATCAATTTGTCATCAACTATACTGGTTATTGTCTCTCCCTCCATCTCCGTCTCTTACCTCGATATAAAAGTCTATTTTTAAGATATGATTTTTAATCTCTATATTTACAGGCTATCAGACGCCGGCGTCTCGAAGCAAATGCTGAAGAGGAAGATATTCATGGCGGTGATAATAATCGTCGTAAAAATGGATCTGATCTGGATGAATTGGTCGATTTAGATTTAGACGATGAATATGATGCTGAAGCAGCTGAACTACATGAAATTGGACAAGATCGTGAGAAAGATGATGGTGACGATGAACAACAAGACGATAATGGTAAATGGCCTTGGAATGAATTATCTCCATCGAGTAAATTAAAGATGCTTCTTGGCAATCCTTCAAGATCTGAACATAAAACAACTACTTCAAAAGGTACAAATTCTGATGAATTTATCCAATGGACTGGTGATCCTGAATTAAATCAGTCAGATGTAGATGATGAACGGGAATTAATCCAAGTAAATATGGAACGAAATGTAGAACAAGAGAATGCTATAAGTCATGATGAAGCTCGCAAACGAATAACGGTAATTCATTTTATTAGTATTTGTATCAATACTAGTACACTGATATTATAGGTTACAATAATTTACAAACTATTATTGGTAACTACTTTCTAGAGATATGTTCTCCTTACATCTGCTACTTAAAATTTATTTAATAACTGTTTGGATGGTTTTACATTTTTACGATTATTTTATTTCGACTGACTGTTTTATGATCTCTTTTTTCTTGTTTATTTCCTACCTTGTCACTTGTTCCAGAATTGTACAAGGTTATGAATTGTAACTATTTCGTTGACTCGCAATCCAGGTTTTAATATGCTCTTAATAACACATCAACATGTTGCATTCTTTCAAATGAATTCTCACTTTCGATTCATCATTCAATTCTTCCTATCAAACACTAAATTTTCCGCTATACGTAATGTTCAGAATAGTCATTTTAATACAAAGTGACTTTTAAAGGTTTTGCTTTTAAAAAATAGTTAAAACAATCACTATTCGTTCGTTCATGTTCAAGGGAATATATTAAAATGTACTAAGATCAGTGCATAATGTTGCGAACGTAGTTAATTAAGTCTCATCTACGATTTTTGTTAGTTTAGTTGATAGCTTTTTTTTATTTTCAAGTGTAAATTCAACTCATCTTTTTGATATTAATCTATTTGAAAGGTGCCTGCACTGCAGTATAGTTATGGACAAATTAAGCGATACAGTTTCATCCAAATAACTGAATGTTACTAACGTAACTTAAGCCTCTTATCCCTCTCAGACCCCTAGGTCACTAACCAGGTATCTCCAAGTAGCTTTGCCCTGGGTTTCTTATAGTTGTTGTCAAGTGCCGTTCGTTTTTATATGCCTGCCTCCAAGTTCATATGCCATGTGTTTTTGACCTGGCGTTTTTCGTCTGATCTTCAGAATTCCAAGAGAAGGTTTACTTCGTGACTCAGTTCGATGGTTTCTGTAAAATGTGATCCATTCACCTCTAGCATCTTTTTCTAATTTCTTTCTCTGACGGGAGCTTGTTTGTTCTCATCTACAGTTGACTACTGTTGATGGTCTCTGACCAATAACTCGAGAGTATCTTATGTAAACAGCCATTTATAAATACCTACACTTTTTTTATGATAGTTTTGGCAGCTCTCTAAGTTTCAGTTCCATAAAATAGAACCTGTAATATTTGTGTTGAAGGTCCTGATTTTGGTGTTAGGTGACAGTCCTTTTAAGTTCCAGGAATGTTACCGTTACTTAGCCACCTCTTAATATCAACATCAAATCTATCATGTTTATCGATGTTGCTGCCTAAATACATAAAGGTTTAGGATCGACAGTAACATCAGAGGAGCTCCAGTTGGAGTTAGATAATTGAATATAGTGTAACATATTTAGGTATCAGAACTTACCGTTGATTATTCGAAGAATGCTATTTACTGGGGTAAATGATTTCCAAGGGGTCATGTTTCTTGATAACATGACTTACACCTCCATGCCAGCTAATATGAAGTAAAATTCCATGCATTATTCCTTCAAAATTCTGCCATCAACTTGTTATATACCAGATTTAGTAAGTAAATATTCACTACTACTAACCAACATATTATCCCTACTACTCACTGATATACATGTATATCAGTTACTTAAGTTTAGCGGTTATCTAATGGTGAAGGCGCTTATCTTTAAAGCGCTAGGTCATAGATTCGATTCTTGCTTCACCTAGTTCGTTTTTGGCCATCCTAATAGTATTATTGGTCTTCACTCGTAAAGTGTGGTTCAAAACTGAGCAGTTGTATCTGTACTTGGGCAATGAGTTACAATTTATATTTATCAGAACGGGGATTTGTGGAGATTGTAGTAATTTTAATAGTCGAATTCATGCATCAATCTAGGCTAGACCATCATTGAAAACCTGGAAGTACCGGACTGCCGTTTCGCCCCAGTATGAGACTCCTCAGTAGTGTGCATCCACAATTCCTCACGTGGGACTCGATCCCGGGACCTTCTGTCTTGCACGCAAACGCCGAACCCCTAGACCATTGAACGAGCATCTAACAGTCTCTAATTTTGATCGCTCCATGATCTTGCACAACCCTTCATCCACTGTCTGAAGTGGATAAGTGTCACCACCCAACACGGATCAGATTCCACTGGTTATGGCTTTTCACTAGAACTCAAGGAAGTATATTTTGAAGCTAGTCACTCATGAACACATAATTATTATCAGTATGGGGGTTCGTAGGAGTTGTACTATTTTAACAGTTGAATCCACGATTCGCTCTAGGCTTGACCACAACTGCTTCCATGCTTTCAATGGTAATCTAGCTTATATCAACTCGTGAATCCAACTACTAAAATTACTACAATCTATATTACCAAATATTTTCAATCAGAACCGTGCTATTATAAAAACGAATATATATATATATATATATATATATATATATATATATATATATATATATGCGTAATCACATACAATAGAGATTCCTAAGATTTCTTCATGTCTATCATTACCCATTTTCTATTTATCGATTTTTGAATAACTTCGCATATGCTTTTCTCTATAAAGAAATCGCTGTCTTTTATTTATTTTATTTTTAAAATAACCATTTTGTGGATTAGAATAACAAATATAAGCGAACAATATTGTTTTCGATTAGATCCTCATCAGGCTTTACTATAATATACAGTAATATTTATATGCATATACGAAATTATTAAATAAATCAAGGCAGTTGATGAATCATCGATAACAGTAGGATAGATTACATAAATAAACATAATAAGTAGAAGATTTTATTTATTAGTATTATCCATACCCTTTCTTCACTCCCACCTTTTTTATCTTTATCAAATACATACACTTCATTGTCCCATTATTCGAACACTTCTTATTACGTAATCCTACAATTTTTTATGAATGTCTATATTTTCCAAGTCATTGATTTACCTTCTTATTATGAAACATTAATTTAAGCCTTTATTATTCTTATCACAACTAGTACACCTGTCTTCACGTTATCAATTTCTACTTTTTACCTATTATGTTTATTTATTTGTATTGCTGAATTGTTTGGTTTTCCATCCCGGCAATTTCGCACTATCTTACTGGTATTGTTTTGGGAGACTTGTGTGTGTGTGTTGTTACTAGTCTATATGATTTTTTCTTAAAATAAATAATCCTAATAATTTCTTAATATTTTACACAACCATATTTTTCTCGTTGTTTCTACTTTATCCTGTTCATATAATCAGTTTGTTACCAGCCTTCACGCTCGTTTTAGTGGTTACGATTTCGACAGAAAAAATTCGTCACCGAAATGGGCACGTCTTACAATTTGTGTAAGTCACTGTTGTTTTTGTTGTACTTTTCGTTGTCGCTTCCATTGTATGTTGTCAGTGGTATTTAGTTTTCATGAATTTCCACTGAAAAAGGTTATTTAGTGCTTGAAAATTGAATTATGTGTTTGTCTATTTTCTCTTTCTAGAAGGAAGAACTTTTTATATATTGTTTATTAAAATAATGTCTTGCTCTTTTATACAAAGGCCTACAGTTTAAGATATTTTTAAAGATTTATTTATATGCTCAAGTTCTTCTTAGTCCATTATTAGTCGCTTGATCTACAATTTATTTTTCCTGATCACTTATAGCTTTTCTTTCTTTCTTAAATTAATATGCTTACCGCGTAAGTGAGGAAAATTTCCAGATCATTGTAATACAATAATTATTCACTTGTTCAAAAGTATAACTGTTAACGCATGTGATGTTAAAGACTACCCAACGTATAGTTTACATCACAGACAACAGATAGATAAATATTTCAAACCATAAAGCATTGAGAAGCTATTTTGTTCTACTATTGAACTCCGCAGTAATGCGAACACTCAACCCCACTACAGTTACAACATGTATCTGTCATTCACCGGTATCGGAAATACCTATCTTACATCCATGAACATCGAAGTTCAATCTCCATAACCAATAATTCCTGGTTTTCAATAATTTCAATCGTTGAAAAGTTCCTATTATATTAAAACACAATTATATGGACGAAGAATATTTTTTTAAATAATTTCTCATCATGTTCTACAATTATAAAATCAAATGACAAACAACAATTCTTGATTCACTTATTACAATTTTAAATGATGTACCCTGCCTTAAATCTGGCCAATTTTATGAATTATTAATTTGGATTTATAATTGTAGAACCTGATGAGAAATTATTGAAAAGAATGTTCTTTGTTCATATAATTGTGTTTTCAATGATTGCCCAACTATATTCAATCCATGATTTAAATTGAAAATTCTCGACAAACCTGCAGTATCACCCAATTAGTTCATTTTCATTATTGAAAAGTTGATCATTAACATTCACAACCCTCACACACTATTCTTTATGTGGTTATACAATGATTAAACCTAGTCTGCTCTATTAAGCTTTCACTCATCCACAATGACAATGAACTTCAAACAATCCAGATACATAAAAACATTGTTAAACAATTATTACTATTTCAATTATGATTCACTAAAATATACCGTATACGTGAAATTCACTAGATGTTTTCAGTGACCTATCTGTTACTTATAATCAGCAAATGTTTTTGGCAATTATTTATTGAAAGTAAATTTAACATGGCCTTCGGTGTTGTTGTTTCATAATAGGGAGAAAACTGACGAAAAATCAGTGGACGTTGTAAATGAAGAATTATACGGGTATATTATACACGACATTTGACAAATTTTTATTACTGTCATATTTGAACAGAGATACCGTAATACACTCAACAGTCATTGTTCTTGTTTGAATAGAAAGAAAATACAAGAGATAATAATATTGATTATTATTATTTACCATTAGTAATCAAGAGAATTTTTAACATACTGTATGCAAACCTGTGGTTTTCTTTATCTCATCTTAGTCTAGATCGGTCACTTTTATAGCCCATTGCTGATTTTTAAAATAAACATAAACTGATATTTGAAATAGAATATTGTTTTTTTGTGACTGTGTTTTACTCATCCTTATGCATATATAATGTTATCATTTATCACCAGATGTTTGATCCTAACGAAGGACGTATATCTATTGACCTAGAAACTTTAATTATGCGCCTTATTAATCGAAGCGTTGTATCCTCTGTATCTGGCATCGAAAAGACCATTATTGATCGTTCAAAACCAAATCAATGGATGTTCCGAGTTGAAGGTATAAACATGATTGTAAGTTCCATAAAATTCTTATTAAATTTGTAAACATTTATGGTTTTCGGCTAGTGAACCGTTCTTATATACTTTGAAACATCAATTTGTTTTACAGTACGCTGCCACTTTAATGCTTCTTCATATACTACTTACAAGTAATTTAGAACAACAAATAAACTGAAAATGACAGCTGGGAAAATATCTAAATATTATTCTGCTTTGTTATATCGGTTGCTGCTATCTTCTTCACAATTAGTTTCGTAAACTAAGCAGCTTCGCTTCTTATACTGACGTCGTTCTAAATTTGAAGAAATAATCTGAATACTGACATTCTAATATTCAGGTATATATTTATCTTGAACTATTTTTACACAAATTTGAACTCACAATGTGAATGAGATTTAATTTGAAAAACTTTATCCAATTTACAGCTCGATAGAGAGATTGAGGGACAAACTACTGAGACGGTAACGAATCAATGCTTTATATAAAAACTGCTAGTTTCAGTGGGTGATAAGCCAAAATCTCCACTACTTTGACGAAATTACCATCATCACTTCAAAAGAGTATAAAAGCTAAAAAAGTATGAAGCAGCTATACTTCATAAATATATATAGCATTTAAATCAAAACCCAAGATTAATACTTTATATGGATATCTTAATATTGCCTGTGATCATAATATTTTCCATTGTTGTCTCAATATTCATTTCCTTACAATGTAAAATTGATTACAGTTAAAAATGCCGAAATATTGTCAAGAATTGAAAAATGCTGAATTTCACGAATGGATCCATCAATAATGATTATGTTGGGCGTTCTTTCTTCGTGTGTAAAATCTCTTCATAGAAATAAGCCATTTTCACTGTTGGTCTTAAAAAACAATCCATTCAGTTATTAATTTAACCGTGGTATTGAAAATCAGTAATAATCAGTTGATGTTTATTATTATTGTCATGAAACTTATACTATATTCAGTGAATATACTAAAGAGGATCTACAAATTTTAGATAATTTTGAACTATAAGTTGGTTGAGTTTCTCATGTTGAAACATGTATCTCATGTTTTCTGCTCAAGCCTCACATATTGTCATCATATCAACATATTTCTATCAAAAAAAATCACAAAAGTCTATTCAACTATGAAATGTGCTTGAATATTGTATATCGTTTATTTCCAGAATGTAGGCAAGTTTCATTAAACTGGCTCTGTGATCACACATAAGATATGATCAATAACTTAATGAATTGTTATGTGTCTTTATCCATATTCCACTTTTTTTCTCTCCAATTGTATGTGCAGGAGATGATGCGTTATCCACAAGTGTTTGACTTGAGTCGACTCTATACTAACAACATCACTGTAATGAATGAAACATACGGTATTGAAGCTGCTCGGGCAGCACTTCAAAGAGTATGTGTATTGTTATTATTATTATTATTATTAACTTTTCTGAATAAGAAAAACAATGTGTAATATTTCTAATTTATCTGGTTGTCAATATTTGTGCACTTCTTATTTTCTTATATACCTGTTATGAAATCTTTTTTTAAGATCAGCTAATGTTCTTTCAATTGACGAAGTAATGGTTTTTGGTTGTTAAACTAAACCATTTGTCTTTCAATTACTAAACCTCAGGTTCGAATCCATCCTTCTACCTACTTCTGTTTAAGTAACCAGATGATACTATTAGCTACCATACAATTAACATGTGTATAGTTTAAAGCCGAATAAAACAGATAGTACTCGACGAGCAAGTTAAGTATTGAGCCTCAGCACATGCACAAATTTAATTATTTGCTTCATATAATTGAAAATTTAAACACTAGTCAAGTCTCATAACTATGTTATTGTTACTATTTTTCCCTCAGGAAGTATCTGGAGTCTTTGGTCATTATGGGATTCATGTGAATTCAAGGCATTTATCACTAATTAGCGATTATCTTACAAAATTTGGCGTTTATCAGGCTTTTAATAGACGTTCAATGAGTTCACATCCATCAATGCTTCAGCAAATGACCTTCGAGACTGTTGCAAATGTTTTAAAAAATTCATTACAAAATGGTAGTTCTATACTATTTTATTTGTAATTGTAACTGTCATAGTAGTATTTCGTACCAATGTTGATTGTAATTTTATAGAATCTCGATTTTGAATATATTATGCTCGCAATCTAATTCAAATAGTGCGCTAATTATATTTTCCTATTTCGATATACTAACTGATTAAATCAAGAACTAGCTTGTTTACAAATCTGTTTAAAAATGTCTTAATTCAAATGAATTGAAAGAGTGAAATGTATGTTTTTCGTGATATGGTTTGACCATTCGAACCGATATATATATATATATATATATATATATATATATATATATATATATATCAGATTCTGTGTTGTTTATAACTGATTAACTGATCTCAATTTTAAAGGCATGTTATAAAAACCCAGTTTTCACAGGAATTTCTGAAGATATCACTTCCTACTATAGTTAGTCATTATGTTGGAAAAGATTGGAAAAAGATCGCTGGAAATGTAACTACTTATCATCTGTGTTTTCCATCAAAACTCCAATCATTATCTCTATATGCATTTTTAATGTCATTTAAATGAAATATGTTCTATAACGCATATGAAATGAGTTACTACAGTTTTGTATCATTGAAGAGTTTATCAAACTGTATTTTACGTCATACAGAGTGATGATTTTTAAAACGAAATTTTTTAGACTCATCAGTGAGTGAATACAATGATTTATTTATTCCTAGACAACATTATCTACAGCATGTATGATACAATTTCATTAATTCGTTCCACTGATTCAAAGTGCCAATTGTCAGTTGGCATATATTGACCCACAGGTATAGTATTTAAGCACTCTTAAGAAACTAATAGTATCTCTTTTCTATTACTTTTATCACATCACAATTCCAGTTAAAATCTTACATATATATAATAGTTTCAGTTAAGACAATTTTTAACGGTAGCCCATAAATAAACTCTTGTTGTTAGGTTGTTAAAGGTGGTCTACAAAAAACGTTGGATCTAGGTTCCATTTTAGTCGGTATTCGTCAACAAGCTAAACCTGCTGTCTTAATCGAATCGACGCTGAACGTAGGTTTTAAACATGCATCATTCTCTCTCACAGTTTGGCACCTGAGCATTCTCAACTGATTTTCATGATATCAAACTTTTATTTCTCTTGTATAGTTTATTTACATAATGATCTGTTTATAGTTTGTTTTTACGAAAAAAACGAAGTCGGAAATTACAGTAAATTAAGTGTATCCTTCAAAAACTATCATCCTAAATCTGTTTAACTGTATATTTTATTTCATTTTATTACATCCATTTTATTATCTTACTTTTTACTATTGTGTAGATTCTATGGACAACTTAGTTTCTCCTTCTGCAAGTTTAGTTACTGGTCGAATAGTTCATTATGCTGGAACAAATTGTTTTGAACTACTTCAAAAGTTGGCTTGTTAAATAAAATATACATTTTATCGATAAGAAATCAATAGAATTTTATGTGTACAGTCATACCTTCAATGATTTCATATATGTATGTGTGTGTACAAAATATTTCCAAAATAATAAAATAGTTCATTAACCTATATGTTTATCCCAGTTTGAAATTGATGTAAATATAATACATTAAAGTAATTGCAATCATCTTTTAATTAGTTTTGCTTTTTGCTTTTGAATTCCTATTGAAGATTTTTATCAATAATTTGTCACTTGTCTTAGTTATATTATTGCAATATAATCAGACTAAAATTTTTTCATTTTCCTTGTATCTAATAGTAAATAAGTCAAAATAGGTTGTTATCGTTTAATTTAGTCTCTTAGTTACTAATATGCCACAAAATGTTAACGTAAAATTATTCAAGATTACTTGATAAATATTAAGTAGCATACTCATTTATCTACTGTGTTAACTCTGTATGTTTTTAATATGATGGAGGGTTTAAAACATTTCCATCACACTGATATATAATACGATAATAAGACTAGTCACGTTGTATCAGAACCAAGATTCACAACCTAGAATAGAGAACCAGATTAACACTAGATAATACTTCATTCAATACGATTACAAGCAGTCACACTCAGTGAGTCCGAAGTGAAAATCAATAACAGGAAAGGAAACCACATGTTTAATAGTTAGTAAGCTGTTTGTTTTTAGCAAACACAAATTTTAAGCATAAGGAGAGACATCGTCTAACATGGCGACCCCCTGCACCAAACCAACAATCGACTCAAATAGACCATATTGCCATCAGTCATCGTTGGAGAGGGTCAATAGAAGATTGTCCCTCATTCTGGAGTACCTGCTTGGACTCCGACCATGCCCTAATACGAGCACGCATCTGCTTGCGCCTCACTGGACGCAAAAGAGCCACACAAAAAAGTCATCAGAACCGAATTGAGTAATGAGAAAACCAAAAGTAGGTTCCAGGAACAACTGAGGTCACACTTAGGTAGTTCTGAAAACGAGGCTGACCCCAATGTTGATTGGAAAGACATACAAGCAGCTGTGGAAACAGCAGTGACATCTACTAGTGATTTAAACCACAGGGTTACAAAGAACCAATGGATTTCTTCAAGGTCTATTGCACTGATAGATTTTCGTAAACTCATCCCATCAGGTTCTGAACACGATGAAGAGCGTAAAGAAATCAGATCTAGGTTAAGCAAAAGTCTAAGGAATGATCGTGAGCAGTGGTGGGCAACGAAAGCAAAAGAGATGGAAAAGGCGGCGGCTATAGGGAACACAAGACAACTCTACAGACTAATAAAAGAAACTGGAATTAATAAGTCAAGTGTAAGACTTTCGGAAAAAGACGACACTCATCTGCTCCCAGTCCAGACGTTTAGAACGATGGGCGGAACATTTTAAGGAGCAGTTCAGTTGGCCTTCAGCTACTCTACAACTACCCTCTATTCCCATACAGTGTGAATGGAACATTGAAGTAGGTCCCCCAACTCTAGCTGAAGTTCAAAAGGCTATAGCTAATCTAAAACGAGGAAGGGCAGCTGGTCCAGATGGATTGGCCCCAGAGGTCTTTAAGGATGGTGGTCTAGTTTTAGCGATTAGGTTGACTAATATTTTAGCTAAACTCTGGGAGTTAGACGTTATCCCATCTAACTGGTCACAATCACTTATCGTCCCAATATTTAAGAAAGGGTCAAAATAATCCTGTGACAACCACAGAGGGATTAGTTTAACTAATATAATATCTAAAATACTAGCTTCGATAATTTTCGGACGCCTAACTAAGACTCGTGAACTGCAAACACGTGAAAATCAGGCTGGCTTCAGACCTGGTCGTGGCTGCATCGACCACATATTCACCATACGTCAGGTTCTAGAACACAGGCATACTTATCGGCATCCGACAATGGTGGTCTTCCTTGACTTAAAAGCAGCGTCTGACTCTGTTGACCGAGAGGTTCTGTGGCAGTGTCTGTCATTGAAAGGCGTACCTCAGAAGTACATAAACCTTGTTAGGGCTCTTTACTCGAACACTACTAGTCGGGTCAGAGCCTATGGCGAACTGTCATCTGCTTTTGCAACCTCAAGTGGCGTCCGTCAAGGCTGTCCACTTTCTCCATTTTTGTTTAACTTTATCATAGACATCCTGATGGAAATAACGCTCTCATCGACTGAATTCTCGGGTATTGATCTCCTACCAGGAGGTCCACTTATTGACTTAGAATACGCAGATGACATAGTCCTGTTTGGTGAAGACGCTGATGAAATGCCGAGTCTTTTGGTAGCACTGAGCAACAATGCTAGAATGTTTGGGATGCGCTTTTCTCCCTCTAAATGCAAGTTGTTGCTTCAGGACTGGTCTGCGTCAACACCTGAACTAAGGATAGGGAGTGAAGTAATCGAACGCGTCGACAACTTCACTTATCTTGGAAGTCTGATCAGCCCTAATGGGTTGGTGCCTGACGAAATCTCAGTACGGATTCGAAAAGCTCGTTTGGCCTTTGCCAACTTACGTCATCTATGGCGAAGGCGAGATATCCGTCTATCAATTAAGGGACGAGTATACTGCGCTGCAGTTCGTTCCGTTCTACTATACGGCTGCGAAACATGGCCTTTAAGAGTGGAAGATACTCGTAAGTTACTAGTATTTGACCACAGGTGCCTTAGAAATATTGCGGGTATCTGCTGGGATCATCGGGTAAGTAATAGTGAGGTTAGACGCAGGGTATTAGGGAATGATGGTAAATCAGTTGATGAGGTTATGAATCTTCATCGACTGAGATGGTTGGACCACGTGTTGCGTATGCCTGAACACCAATTACCACGACGCGCAATGCTAACCGGTGTTAGGGATGATTGGAAGAAAGTTAGGGGCGGCCAAACCAAAACGTGGCATCAGTGCTTGAAGTCACTAACTTCTGGTCTGAGCCATGTTGGGAGATTCAGACTGCCTGGTTGGGGTCCGCGTGACTATCGTAACGAATGGTTGGAGACTCTTGGTGACATGGCTCACAATCGATCACAATGGCGTCGATGTATACACTCTCTGTCTTCCTTAAATTAAGAGATTAAAATCACTTCAAATCTTTCTTTCTAGGAACTAATTCTACCTTCCTGTACTATCTCCTTATACACACTCTTTCTTCTATATATTACCACCACTGAATTAACTACTTCTATGAATCCGGTGTTCATCTTGTTGTGTTAATGCGGTATGGCAACTTGGACCGATGCATATACGTGCCTGGTCCTACGTTGCAGCTGACTGACTGAAGCTGTGTCTGTTTGTCCACGCTCAACGACCAATCATAATTTGCTTTGAATATTACATATCAATTTCATGAAATATGTTAAATATCCTATTTATTTGCACTAGGACTGTTTTTATTATTATTCCTACTTAGTGTCGCATCACCGCACACCGTAGCGAGATCATTATCTAACCAGTTACTATTGTTCAAATAATCATGATTTGAGACTATGAGATTCAAAACCAGATAATGACAAATATTCTGTCCAAGGAATTACCAGTTAATCTAAAGTAATTAAAAAGTATATGATTGTATAAAATCAAATAGATAATGATTTTAAAAAACCAGATTTATATGGAAGAGGAAAATTAGAGATAAAGGAAAAGTTAGCAAAAAGTACTTCCAAACGAAGTTCATTAGTACAGGATAATCGGACATGGAGATGGGACTGAGGAGATTGCTATTATTAGTCCTCATTTAAGATTGTTACTCAGGGAAAAGAGAGTCAAAGCCGTTTGACATGCATTCGTGTCAGTAATTGTCATATATCTTGTTGATGCAATCATCTACACAGCCTGAAGGCTGACTGATCTTTTGAGGTCCGGTATTGTTGGACCTCAACTTAACGTCGTATTCATGGGGAACGTAGGATTTTGAAGACAGTATTCATCAAATTGTCTCTACGTCTGACACGCTAAAATATTAGTCTCTTATTTAGATAAGTAGTAAACAATCGAGATCGATAGGCCTATGGTTACTGTTGTCCGAATAATAGCCCAGCCATTCTCATCTTTAAACACTGGAGTCAACTAACACATTTTACAAGGTAAACCATCTTTTGTGTTCAAATTATTATCATCCAGTATAGTTGGCTTTTTCTTCCCCTGGTACGGCCGAGGGTGGGCAGAGTTAACTCTCCCTCTCGAAATGCTCCTAGACGATCACGCTTATACAGCTACTACCAGGTAAGTCCTACTCACTGCCTTCTTGCGGCACTGCTGTTTACGAAATTGAGAGGATGAAAAGCGAATGTCCGGTGTCTTAACCGGGTTAGTAGTTACAGAGGATGGACCTAGGAAAGTTGGGGAACCCTGATTTCAAAACAATGGTTCCCATGACCTTTAGGATCCTAAGGAAACAAATGGCGTATGAACCTATTCTTCGTCACCGTACACCATGGGATTGAATCTCACAAAGTTGCTCCACTACCTTGTGGATTAAACCTTCAGGTCCAAGCCTCAGGGCGTGGCCCCCTAAGAAAACCACCTGCTTCTGTTTGGGCAGTATCGCAGCCCACACACAAATCAAGTGGCTTGTGTGGCGCATATGTATTTGGTGCCTTTTTGTACCAATATTTATGTGTTCAAATAAACAATAATAGGCTTGTTTCCAGCTAAACTCATTGTAATTGTTTTCGGCTTATTCTCATTTTATGACTATATATATGTTTAACTTAGATATCCGTTTGTTGCACCATGAATGTGGTGAATATTCACTCGATTTTTCGTTATCTTTTAAAATTCGCTTTTCTATACACTGAATTTCATTTATTTTTAAGTTACCAAAGTTAGGAATTTTTTACCAACGCACTCAATGGATCAATATACAATAAATCACACTACGAAGTTATTACATCAGTTACACTTTAATATAGATCATTTATTAACTATTCTGGGTATAAAAAAAATACTAACTACATAATTGTATTGATAATCATTTAAGTGTTTCACTTGTCATTCTTTATTCCCATAAGAAAATTGTGTGAACTTCATTAATTACAATAATGCCATAATTGGTGTTCTACTTATTTATTCTTACTAATTCAATTGAAATTTAATTCTCATTGTTTACATATTATTATTGATAAAATAAAGTAAATTTGGCTTGGTTACCATATTCAAATTCCCCGCCCCCCCCCTCAAATCGTTAATAATG